CTAATATATTTTACAATATGAGTATAGTACTGTGCTTAAGATATAATTATCTTAAGCTACACATATACAATAGCCAAAAACTCTGTAGAGTTTATTAGCTAATAGATTTATAATGTAACCCTAGTACTAAGCTTAAGATAAGATTAGACTTAAGCTAAATGTATATAGCAAAAAACTCCTTAGAGTTTATTAACTAATATACTTTTATGTTATAAACATAGTACTGAGCTTAAGATATGATTAAATTTAAGCTATATATATATATAATAGCAAAACTCCGGCCGAAGTTTTGTTAGCTAATACATTTTATAATGTAAACATACTGCTTAAGATATGATGAAACTTAAGCTAATTGTATAATAGCAAAACAAACCCCTTTAGAGTTTGTTAGCTAAAATACTTATATGATATAAACCTAGTATTGAGCTTATGAAGGAAAACTTAAGCTACATATATAATAGCAAAACACCGTGAGAGTTTGTTAGCTAATACATGTTATAATGTAACCATTAAGCTTAAAATATGATGAAAACTTAAGCCAAATATATAATAGCAAAACCTCTTTTAGAGTTTTGATAACTAATATACCTATATGATATAAACATAGTACTGCTTTAAGATATGAATAAGCTTAAGTTACATATATAATAGCAAAAACTCTGTAGAGTTTGTTAGCTAATACATGTTATAAAATAGCCATATTGCTTAGAATATGATGACACTTTAAACCCAATAGCAAAACTCTTTAGAGTTTGTTAGCTAATATACTTATATGGTATAAACATAGTACTAAGCTTAAGATATGAATACGCTTTAAGCTACCTATATAATAGCAAACTCCGTGAGAGTTTGTTAGCTTAATATATATTTTTATAATATGAGTATAGTACTATGCTTAAGGTATAATTAACTTAAGCTACGTATATAATAGCCAAAAACTCTGTAAAGTTTGTTAGCTAATGCATTTATCATGTTACCATAGTACTACTCTTAAGATATGATTAACTTAAGGTAAATATATAATAACAAACTCTGTAGAGTTGTTAACTTATATATTGTATGATGTAATAATCATAGTACTGTGATGATAAAAGGAACTTAAGCAAATTATATATAGCATGTAGCTATTTAGTACTGTTATAAGATAAGTAGAAAACTGTAAGAATGACTTATCTTCTCCGAGGAACTGTCAATTGTTGTGCGAGGACCATGGGATCGAATTGGTGGATACCTGAGACGTCCTCAGTGGTGATATCTCTCAGATAATGGTTGGCAACCACCATATCGGATCTCCAGAAATAAACCCTCCATTATTCCAAATAACATTAGTGTAGATCAATTGTAGAAGTTAACGCTCTAATATCATGAGTATTAAAAGCTCATGGAGGGTCGGATTTTGTCCATCCGTCTTGTATGCACATAGTATGACAGTTCTGATCCAAACAGAGATATAGTACGTGAGACTTCATTCTGCCTAAGTTGATGATAGAGGAAATAATCTGTTGCATTTTCCCTTCCTGTTTGGTTCGGTGGAGATAAATTTACAGTGCTCTTGCTGGCCATCGTGATAGAATCATCGTATCATGGAGCCCAAGTATGTCATCCAGGCGTGTTCATAAACCTCACTTGTGAGGTGTTGGAGCACTATATTCAGATCCCCAAGTTGGAGTGTGAAACTTCCGTTTTAATTCTCCAATCAGAAAGCTTAAGTAGGTTACTAACCATTTAGTTGTGTTAGTAGCTTGATGATGAAATTCAGCTGTAGTCTGAGACGCTGTGGATTTAGATCCACTTGTATCCCGTCGTCTAGGTAATTCGCTGCGAAGTCCTTGACGATGTAGGATCACAACCAGGTGTGTCTGTCCTCGTGAACTTTATGAAAAATCGCCTGACTGCCGTGCCCTCGTCTTAACTTGACAGGGGAGGTCTCTAACCTGAAGAAAACAGCCTAATCATGAAGGTTCAGGTTAACTGGACTGTAAGGAGGCTTGCTCGTTCACTGATATATAGTTGTCACTTGTGACGTAAGTCTTGCACTGTGAACTAAGATCGACCTCTACGTAGGGCGTTGTCCATCGCGGTCCAATCAGAAGAAGGCATTTTGATTCTGTATAATACCCGCGCTGTGATGTCACCGGTGTAGTAGGGAAAAAACCTTGTATAAAATCTTGCCGTCGTTGATATTAGCATAAACGTCGGTCTTCACCGTAGCTTCCCGAAGTTACCCGAGTGACCACGTGTTTCGAGGGTTAGTGGTAAACGCCAGCCGAAACCTTCGCCAAATACCTCGCCTGTAATATTAATGCTGGGTAGGTTATTTCCCGGCTGTCGTGGAAAGTAACTTCAGTTTTGAATATAATTCCGACTTTCTTATATAAAGGTACAATAAACTTGCAAGTTGTCAGCTTGTAGACTGTATACATGAATGTATCGTCATAATTGTAGAATTAAAGCTGAACTTGTTGTACATATTTCTTCTCAGAAACGCTGACGACATGAGTTATACTCGCTGTAACAAGACTGCTGTTCAATTTCGATATTGAATTGTCTGCAGATATGCTGCGTAATGGTCACGATGTAGATAATCGTGATCGCCGTCCGGGATTGCATATTCTAGCAATTTATAATGGAATAGTTGATTTCTGTGAAGATCTATGAAACGCCGCTGACTAAATAATACAGCTTAATGCTCTGTGTTGTAAATAGCCTGTGCAATTGTCTTCGCGAGGCTTATAGATTTTCGCATCTGGCATACAGTTGATAGACAACTTATGCGATGTGTTGAACGGACTGACGAAAGTAGCTATATATGACGAGTGGCTAGTATATGGAGACCTTGTAGGAAACTTCCTCGGTGAATGCCGAGACTTCGCAAGCTCGAAGTATCCCTTCTAGATTTTCTGGTTGAAGTAGACTTGCAGCCACTTAGCCTTTATGCGACCTTCGCCAGCGGTATCGAGTCAAAGCCCGATTAGTATATATATATATATATATATATATATATATATATATGAGCTTGCTTCGCGAACGGCCTCTGTGTTAAACAGGATGTGGGGTCGGCAAAGCGCTACTCCTCCGCGATGTCCCTTGTAGCTGGTGAGGCTCTAGCTCCTTCTCGGAGGCGGCCTGGGACTTGCTGGTTGTGCATAAGTAGGGCCGAGTGGATCATCTTATTTTCAGAAGTCGTGTTACGAAGTCTGGTGATAAGTGTCTTATTGATCGTTCTAGATCTATTTAGGCCAGAGAACATACGTCTCGTCATGGATTCAACTGAACCAATTTACGATTGTAGTTCTTATTCTTGATATCGATGATCAACTTGTCTATGGGTTGATCTTCTCGGAGACTTGTGAGGAGAACGTTGATAGCTTCGCCAAGCTCTTGTGTAGTCCCTCGATGTCCTTCTAGATGATGATGATCTGGATTCAGGTGTCCTTCGCGAATGCCTTCGCGAAGCTTCCTCTGCGTCCGGTCCATGGGAACGACAATATGACCTTCGCGAAGGCTTCCGTGATGTCTGATGGTCCGAATCCACATCTAGGGAAGGCTGTACATCTAGGTCCTTCCCGCCTTCGCGAAGGCTGTACATCTAGGTCCTTCATCAAGGTGGTCCGTGACTTCCTTCGCGAAGGTGACATCGTCCTGGCTGCTACATTGACGGGGGTGCCTCTGGGTGTTGTTCACGCTGGAGCCTTCGCTGGTTCGTCCCTGCTACTGCAGTCTGTAGCGGTCCTCCATCATGGTCATAATTTGCCGCATCAGGTCCTCAGGGATGGTCTGCGACGAGGTCGTCGGTGCCTTATCTGCGGTGTTAATGGAGGGGTCCACAGGAAAATCGTCCGACATCAGTGTAGAGGCATCAGGCTGCATGGTGATCTCTGCTGATGTCATTGTAGCTGTCACCGGTCGCTTCTTGTGGGGTAGACTGGCGAGGGGTTCAGGTGTATCAGTCATACTAGACTCTGCATACGCGACCTATCTGCTGCGCGTCTCAAACGCAAAGTAAATATTAATAAAGGGTAGAATTGGATAAATTAGTACCGCAACTGCAACGTGAATAAAATGAACATGGCGCAATACAACTAAGGCGGATCAGCAGCAGAATAAAAAACGTAATCTGCAATAGTACAGAATTTTTATCAACGTAATCCACTGAAACACGGCGTCCCGTGAATAAACTGTAGAAAAACGATTTAATATCAATATATAATCGTTGAAGGATACTAGCTAAACCTCTATAGATGTCTATACGAGGTAACTAACTAAATATAAATCAAAGGATATAGTGTCGGGAGACACAGGCGCTCTCACGTCCAGCTCACTGGGCGAAGAAGGAGAGAGTGAGGCACATGGGTAGAGGTGGCGCCCTCGTTCCCGCGCTTGTGGAAGGGAGGTAACTCGTGGTGAGTGCTAATTAGTGATTTTACATTGAAGGGAACTTCAATTAGGGAGATACAAGTGTTTCCACTATGTTCGCAAGAGGAAGGAGACAAGCAAAAGAGCATGAGTCAGGATAAGGAAAAATATAGCTATACTGTTCACTTAAAGGGCATGCTATGGTGGCCACGTTAAACCGAAAAAAAAAACTTTGAAAAAGAAGACAATTTAATGTAGATAGATCATGATGCCAAAGGATGGGTAGTGGATAAATCCCATGGTTTACAGTATTATTTTGTATTGATACTAAATGGAAAGATTGTTCTAGCATGATATGAGTACAGCCTGACTGCAAGTCCCTACCTTGGTTGTGGTGATTGACATGGTCATGACTGATGCCTGTCTTGTGAGGTCTGCTTCGTCGAAGGATGCTCCTCGGAATTGAGGACTCCCAGTCACATCAAACTCAGGGCGGACATAATCACCAACAGGATTAACATTGCACCGGTTGCCTGAAAGGAAAAGGCACGCTCAAGCAAAAGAGTCTCACCTCATTTCCATGGATCAACTCCATTTTTTAAAAGGTTATCATACTACTGTTTCTCCATTGCTTGTATTAAAACATGTGTCTTGACCAACACATGCAACTCTGAACATCGAAATTGTGCTTGTTAGAAGACAGCATGACCCTTGCCCAGGTTACTTTGGAGCTTGTATAATATCAACATCACCAAGCCTGACTGACTGACTGAGTTTAGTTTTATGCCGATTTTAGCAATATTCCAGCAATATCACGGCGGGGGACACCAGAAATGGGCTTAACACATTGTGCCCATGTGGGGAATCGAACCCGGGTCTTCGGCGTGACGAGCCAACGCTTTAACCACTAGGCTACCCCACCGCCCCACATCACCAAGACATCAAGGGTACAGTTGTAAACAATAAGCACCATGGGTTAAATAAGTTGTTAAAATGGCACCAAATCCAATAAAGTCTTTGAACTACAATATCTTAAAGATCAAACACAAAATTGTCATGCGGTTACTTATATACCAAGTCAAAAAGATACAAATACACCAATGGCCTAACTTCGACACTGGTAATAGTGACAGTTTTCAATATCAGACAAAACAAAAGGTGTTACGTTTCATGTGCCTCACAGACATTCTTCCACATTCAAACAAATCGTTTAGTCCAGGATGATTATTCCACGTCAGTCTATACATAAATCCAGTGAAAAAGATAGGGAAGGCTTAGACATGGACTGGAAGCAAGGGCAGGTAACTCTAAAGTCTTACCCTCAGGTTGGCTGTTGAGCTGTGAGGAGATGGTGATCTTCCACATATGGAGCATGGAGCCCCCACTTACATTCCGCTCCAGCACCACCAGGTAGAAGTTCTCCTCGAAGGAGCTCATGTTCCTCAGGTCCACGATGGCCTCCATGTTAGGGCCGCCTGTTTCACTGGGGGAGAAGCGTCCCGTCACAAGCTGTTCTTGGAACACATGAAGGAGCTGGATGTTCTGCCAATCCTGTTCACATCAAAGACTTTGATTAGAGAGTGTCAGTACTGTCCTTATTTTAGTTGTTGACATTAAACAAGGAAGTCATAACCAAATTGTAACAAAATTAGGTGTGGGCTTGACACTTCTTTGAAGGATTTTACTGATATCACGGAAAGTCTCCAGTAAAATGCCTACAGTGATACAACTCGTAGACTACTTCAGTGATACCCATATTGAAGGCAAAGTCTAGTGCTCACAAACTAAAATATTATCCTCCTATGAATACAAACTCACAATTCTGATATGAGTAAGGGAGGTAAGTAACTGACTGACTGAGTTTGGTTTTACGCTGCTTTTTAGCAATATTCCAGCAACATCACGGCGGGGGACACCAGAAATGGGCTTCACACATTGTACCCATGTGGGGAATCGAACCCGGGTCTTCGGCGTGACGAGCCAACGCTTTGACCACTAGGCTACCCCACCGCCCGGAGGTAAGTAACTCTACATATTGGAATGCCTCAACTGATGAATGCACCATCCTTGAGCTTGCACAATATCAACACCATGGAGACAACATTTTTGTTTGTTTTGTTTGTTGTTTAAGTAATGCCTTACTCAGCAATATTCCAGCTACATGGCAGTGGTCTGCAAATAATTGAGTCTGGACCAAACAATCCAGTGATCAACAGCTTGAGCATCAGTTTAAACAAATGGAATACAATGAAATGTGTCAACCAAATCAGCGAGCCTGACCACCTGATCCCACCAGTCACCTCTTAGAACAAGCATGCGTTGCTGAAGACCAATTCTAACCCAGATCCTCACGGGTCGATGGAGACAACAAGTTGCAACAATCTTACAAAATATACAAAGAATAGCCTCCAAGTTTGGCATTACAGATTATCATCCTGTAATGTTATATTGATAATACAGTCAAACACCATGGTGTCAAAGTTGAGAGGACCCACATGCATGCTTTGAGTTACACGAGTTGACACAACTGAAGTATGGATGAGCCATGCGAGAGTTTATCAGAGTAAATTTGAGCCTGAACACCATGTTTGTTGCTGGAATATAACTTCAAGACAATGACATCTCCAACATATCAGATAAAACACTGTATTCAACTGTATGTAAAATATGAGTGAATGTTGTTTTACACCCCCATTGACAAAATTCCAATTTACAACAGGCTGTAAATCATCAGATCTGACACACAATCCACCAGGTCGCACTTTGTGACCATACATTCCTCTTAAATCTCCCACAAGCATGAAGTACTGATGAGTTAACTGCCCGTGCAATCTCCACTGGGATGCAGCCCATGTTAATGTCAAGAAGCTGCCATCATCACCTGCTGGGCATCGTTGATCCCCTGCAGTTCCATGATACATCCAGGTCGAGCCGACGACTGCTGACTGACGATGTTGAACACTTCACTAGCAGCCCGAACTGGAGAACCCATGTCACCATGGTAACTAGAACTTGTTGTACTTGAGAAGCTTAGGGCTTGCTGCAAAAACAAAGCGTTCCTGGAGTAAATATCACGATATTCAGTGAGCTTTAGTTTGGGGTTAGGGTTAGGGTTAGAATTATCACAACTCCAAAGCCAATGCATTACAACATCTTAGAATGTAATTGTTACATAAGATGCAGTGTTTCACAATAGGGAAACCTTTCATTTTTGAGCATATGGGTCCACTGACATATGCACAGATGTCAAGGGTTGTATGGCTTTTAAAATGAGTCACTTGTTTCAATGTTCTAGGACATTGGTTTTAAAGCGTCACTTGACCAGTGAAAACTGAAATTGATCATAAGCTCTGGATGTGGGTGTTAGGAGTCACTGTCTGTATGAACTTCGAACATGACATGGACGTACATCTTTCCTCTGCACTGAAGCATCCATGAGAAGAGTCCTGGCATCTATCACAGCTTGGTAAAGTCTCAGACAGTTTCCATCTGATGCCACGAACAGTGCACTGGGGGAGTTACTGTAGGACCCCAGCGAGGTGCTGCAACAAACACAAGAGAACTCAGTCACTGGCATCAGTACATGGCACTCAATTACTTGCATACCAATACAAGGCATCAATTGTTTATCCAGCCACAGGCATACCAATGTAAGGCATCAATTGTTAACCAGCCACAGGCATATCAATGTAAGACATCAATTGTTTATCCAGCGACAGGCAAAGCAATACAAGGCATCAATTGTTTATCCAGCCACAGGCATAGCAATACAAGGCATCAATGGTTTATCAAGCCACAGGCATATCAATTCAAGGCATTACATGTTTACTCTGCCACAGGCATACCAATACAAGACATCAATTGTTTATCCAGCCACAAGCATATCAATGTAAGACATCAATTGTTTATCCAGCGACAGGCATAGCAATACAAGGCATCAATTGTTTATCCAGCCAAAGGCATAGCAATACAAGGCATCAATTGTTTATCCAGCGACAGGCATAGCAATACAAGGCATCAATTGTTTATCCAGCCACAGGCATAGCAATACAAGGCATCACGGTTATCCAGCCACATGCATAGCTATGTAAGGCATCAAATGTATATCCAGTCACAGTCATATCAATTCAAAGCATCAATTGTTTATCCAGCCACGGGCATACCAATACAAGGCATCAATTGTTTACCCAGACACATGCATAGCAATACAATGCATCAATTGTTTATCCAGCCACAGGCATATCAATTCAAAGCATTACATGTTTACTCTGCCACAGGCATACCAATACAAGGCATTACATGTTTATCCAGCCACAGGCATAGTAATACAAGGCATCAATTGTTTATCCAGATACAGGCATAGCAATACAAGGCATCAATTGTTTATCCAGCCACAGGCATACCAATACAAGGCATCAATTGTTTATCCAGCCACATGCATAGCAATGTAAGGCATCAATTGTTTATCCAGCCACAGGCATAGCAATTCAAAGCATTACATGTTTACTCTGCCACAGGCATATCAATTCAAAGCATTACATGTTTACTCTGCCACAGGCATATCAATTCAAAGCATTACATGTTTACTCTGCCACAAGAAATACCAATACAAGGCATTACATGTTTATCCAGCCACAGGCATAGCAATACAAGGCATCAATTGTTTATCCAGCCACAGGCATACCAATACAAGGCATCAATTGTTTATCCAGCCACATGCATAGCAATGTAAGGCATCAATTGTTTATCCAGCCACATACATAGCAATGTAAGGCATCAATTGTTTATCCAGCCACAGGCATAGCAATTCAAAGCATTCCATGTTTACTCTGCCACAGGCATATCAATTCAAAGCATTACATGTTTACTCTGCCACAGGCATACCAATACAAGGCATCACATGTTTTTCAATCCACAGGCATAGCAATACAAGGCATCAATTGTTTATCCAGCCACAGGCATAGCAATACAAGGCATCACGTTTATCCAGCCACAGGCATACCAACTGAAAGGATCAGGTGTTAAGATCAAGTGTTAAGTTATAAGAAAACCAACACAGAGAAACATCGGGAATATGGATACAGAGAATGATACCACTTCATGAAATATGACTGTTTAACACTGCAACAGCAATTCTGCAATTTTGCAGTTGGGATTCAAAAAGAAGAGTATCGAGTATCCTGTATCCATAGATCCTTTCAGGCACAAAATCTCAGACTTTACACACAGAATGAAATAAGTCACACAACAAGAGTTTTCTTACCTAGGTAACAGAGTTGGCACCCATGCCACATTGGAGAATGCTGAGATGGGAGGAGCATTAATCCTGGCCAGCTCAACGATTCCTCCAGACTTGGACAACGGACCGACCGGGTCGACTCTCCAAAGAATCAGTTCACTACAGAATGAGAACCCATGACTTTCTCCATCATCCTCTGTTGCAGAATCTTTCTCTGGAGAGTCCTCCTCAGGAATGTTGTGATGGGATGTTGTAAGCAACAACGGTAACACTGGGTGACACGCTGCAGAGTTTGTTCGGAATCGATGACCACACGCTCTAGAAGCATGCGCTACACTGACAATAGTCTGGAACTTGGAGTTATCTGAGAAACTAATCTGCCACTGATTAATGCTTCCATTGCTGTGCTTTGAAATCATAAGTACGTTTGGAATCAACATATTGTCGTTCTGACCGGGAGAGTTCTTTCCCGTGGCTGTTGCAGGCTGTCCACTGTGACGAACAAAGCCTTCTTGTTCCATCATGGACACTTTACTTTCACTCATCTTCATGGCTGACTTGATGTCCATCTTGCTGTAGTTGCAGTACATGAGGACGTTGCTGGCCATGGTGCGAGCGTCAGGGATGGGGAATGCATTTGGCAGCCGAGACGAGAAGCTGACTTGTGCTTGACGGAAACAATATGGATTACACTCATCCAGCCAGTCAACTAGCCTGAAACAAAAACATGGGAGATCATCTAGACTGGCAATCATCAATGCTCATCGCAAGTTCACAAGCATGAAATTCTCCACTCAAATTAATTATAATCATGATTTTTAGAGTGTGGAAGATTCATATCCTCACTTCAGATATGCAGACATCTTGTCTTTGGGTAATAACTATTTGAAACAAAAGATTAAAAATCATCAGTCATCACTGATCATTTATTTACTTTCAAATCACTGAGATATGGCCTTAATATTTAGAACAACAATTCTCAAAAACACTCCACTGCAGAGTTTGTGGCCTATATATCACCAACAAAGTAATGGGTGAAACCCACCACACAAGAAAGCTGCCATCGACTGGGTGTATACTGAACAACATGTCAGAGCTTTGATGCCAGTCTCGTAACAGCACCTCGATCTTCCGATCCAACGACTCCACTATCGAACTCTGAAATAGAATGTAGTTTTACTTTGGCAGCTGCAAAATCAGAAGACTATTTCAGCAGTTTTGGAATGAGTGAACAAATTGTGATTTAAGTGAGTGAGAGAGTTAAGTTTTATGCCGCACTCAGCAATATTCCAGCTACATTGCGGTGGTCTGTAAATAATCGAGTCTGGACCAGACAATCCTGTGATCAACAGCAGGAGCATCGATTGTGATTTAAGCCACCTTGAACAGTATTTCAGTCATTTCACAGCAAGACAACCTAATGTTAGAGATGAGTGCACAGAGGCCATGGCTGTAGGTGAACTATAGTATAAGTGGAATCAAGAAGCAGCTTTACATATTGCTAAACCACTGCAAGGCATGGAACCCAAGCACCATCACTGAATCAAGATATGAATCCTTACTGAGATGTCTGTGGAGCTGCCAGTGCCCTCTTCTGACGACATGCTTGACATGCTGTCTGTGTGGCTCCCAAGGCTCTTGTTGTCCTTATGGAAGTTCTTGTGCTTGTGTTTTCTTTTAAAGAATTTGTTCCTCTTCTTCTTACCATGACCTGCATAACAAAGATGTTGTGGTCCTGAATCATGGCAAAAGTACACACTTTGTTCATATTATCTTCATAAAAAGTGGGTGGGTTCTTTGTGGAACAAGGACATGGACCCTTTCCAGCGCTGTGAACATATTGCTATATCGGACATAAGTCAAGGTAAAATTATTGAAGGGTTGGAAGATATTTGTCCTCATCAAATTCACAGCCATTTCAGGTATTTTAGTCCTATTTTAAAGCGTACAAGCAACACATACAAGAGGCATATGTTCAGTGCCATTACATAATACAAAGGGAAGTAATTCGCTCCAGATCACAGTTTCAGTTATTAGGTTGAACACATGTAAATTATCAAACATCATGTATCCACCATGCAAACAAGGTCTGCAAAGTGAGCTCTTTATCATACATCCTTATCTCATAGGTTCACGAACATTCACAAGCATGTTTGTATTTCAAATATAAACAAGTGTTTGCCACTGATATGGCAATGTCCCCCGCCACTAAAGAATGGAACATTTTTACTACTTTTACTACTTTTTTGGTCACATACAGGATGCCTGAAATGACTGGTGTCTGTGAAATCACCCAATGTAGGCTGTCGACACAATTGAAGACATTGGGTGCAATGTTTTATGAGATATCGCGTTAACAAGAGTTTGTAAAGTGGTCAAAGTGTCATGGTGACCTTGCAGACAAGGTCAAGGTCACCCAAATCAACTGGTATCTGCGTAATCTCCCAATGCAGGCTGTCACCAACTTTGAAGACATTGGGTACAACAGTCCATGAGATTTCGCGTTAACAAGAGTATCAAAAGTGGTCCAAGGGTCGTGGTGACCTTGAAAATAAGGTCAAGGTTACCCAAAACTGGTGTCTGCATAATCCCCTATGTAGGCTGTCACCAAATTTGAAGACATTGGATACAACAGTGCATGAGATATCACGTAACAACAGTTTGAAAAGTGTTCAAATTGTTGTGGTGACCTTGAAAATAAGGTCAAGGTCACCAAAATCGACTGGTGTCTGGGTAGTCCCCCAATGTAGGCTGTCACCAAATTTGAAGACATTGGGTACAACAGTTCATGACATATCACGTTAACAAGAGTTTCAAAAGTGGTCAAAGTGTTGCCATGACCTTGAAAATGAGGTCACGGTCACCAAAATCTACTGGTTTTTGTGTAATCCCACAATGTAGGCTGTCACCAAATTTGGAGACATTGGGTACAACAGTGCATGAGATACCACGTTAACAACAGTTTGTTTGAAAAGTGGTCAAAGGGTCGTGGTGACCTTGAAAATAAGGTCAAGGTCACACATATCAACAGGTGTCTGCATAATCCCCCAATGTAGGCTGTCACCAAATTTGAAGACATTGGATACAACAGTGCATGAGATATCGTGTAACAACAGTTTGAAACATGTTCAAATTGTTGTGGTGACCTTGAAAATAAGGCCAAGGTCACCAAAACCGACTGGTGTCTGGGTAATCCCCCAATGTAGGCTGTCACCAAATTTGAAGACATTGGGTATAATAGTTCATGAGATATCGCGTTAACAAGAGTTTCAAAAGTGGTCAAAGTGTTGCCATGAAAATGAGGTCAAGGTCACCAAAATCTACTGTTTTTTGTGTAATCCCACAATGTAGGCTGTCACCAAATTTGGAGACATTGGGCACTACAGTTCATACGCCGCCAATACATAGTCCCCAGCTCTGGTTGCGGCAGGGGACAATAATTAAAAAGAATTGTTGTGTAGTAAGGGTAGTTCAAGGTCTATTTCAAGTTCAACTTTAAGGCATTTTCAAGAGAATCTCCAAAATCTCCATTTTTAATTTTAAGCCTAGTCAGATGCTGGATCGAGATGGTTTTCTAGGTATGAACACTGCTTTAAAGAACAAGGCCTGGATTGCAAGTTTCTACCTGTCTCATCCTTGTCAGCTTCCTGGTCCTCATGGTCATCCTCATGGTCGTGTTCATGTTCGTGCTCCTCGCTGTCAAATTCATGGCTGGTGTGGACCTCCTCCTTGTGGCTCTCCTCAAACAGCATCTGCTTGTGGAGATCCTGCAGGATGTGCTCAGCTTCTATAGTGAACTGCAGCTCCTTGTTGTTCAGCCAGTGGATCTTGAAGTTGTGATCCACGTCGCCCTTGTTGCCGATAATTGGCTGAAGTGGAATGTCTGTAACACAAAAGCAATTCAGTCATTTTCCATACAATAGTGAAATGTCTTCTACACGAGAGTGTACAGTCACCTTTCATAAAACAAAGTTGGAACAACTGCTACCACATGCTTAACCTGAAATCATCAAAAATCCTACGAATGCTACCATCAGCTTTGTATTATCAAACAGAAGCTTTGTGGCAATTTCGTGTGTGCACGTGGTTCTACGGACCTGTTTCAGGGTTGATGCTCCCAGCGAGGTGGAAATGCAGTACCGGGGACACGCCGTTGTGGTGGATGGCGAACTTGTGGAAATCATGGACACTGCCCATGCTGGGGAGACTGGTCATGCTCATCACAGTCTCAGGGCCATACTTCGGGTGCTTCTTACGCTTGTGGATCGCATGCCTGAACACAAAACACACAGCTAGTCTTACCTGAGTATTGTTGAATATCGAATAAGCAACACGTAGCCATATTCTGAGACACTGTCATTCAAGTTAATCTGCATGTCTTTCCTTTGTACATAACAAACTTGGAAGTGGAATCTGTTGACAAATACCATCAGTAAAAGTAGCCCTGACATAAGTCAAGCTGGAGCTTTAACTCAATCTAACCTCAATAACCAAAGTGTTTGACATTCTCACTAATTCCATAGCATTAAATCACCTGCCAGGCCTGAGCAGTCGTACCTATGTTAATGTATATACCAATGGATCAATGGTTGTTCAGATGAGCAATAATTACTCAGGGAAAGAGAGAGAGAGTGATGTCAGACAAGTAACATGTGACATCTGGCCTCTGGATATCCATTAAGACAAACCATTTGTTCAAGAATTGAAAGTGTGCCCAAATGAGCTGTACACCACCTGCACACGTAAAGGTTGTACCAGAATGTGACATAATCTTAGCAGGAGATTTTAATGCTCGTACAGGAAATATGAATGATTTCATCATCGATGATAACAACCGTTATATACCAAGTCTTGAAGATATGGATTATGAAATAGATGAATTCAGTATGCAACGCCAGTCACGTGATGATGTGATTAATGATTATGGCAAAGAGCTTTTCGATTTATGCTGCACATATGGAATTCACATGCTAAACGGTAGATTCAAAGGCGACAAGTGTGGAGCATTTACGTGTTTTAAAGAGAATGGAGCAAGCCTGGTTGATTATGTACTTTGTTCATCAAAATTATTTGACTGACTGAGTTTTGGTTTTACGCCGCTTTTAGCAATATTCCAGGAACATCACGGCGGGGGACACCAGAAATGGGTTTCACACATTGTACCCATGTGGGGATTCGAACCCGGGTCTTCGGCGTGACGAGCCAACGCTTTAACCACTAGACTACCCCACCGCCCCCAAAATTATTTGAAAGAATCCTAGATTTTGCTGTATGCACTCAATGTGAGTCAGATCACTTCCCTTTGAGTGTTACATTCAACATTGGCACTGCAGCTAGGCAGAACACAGGCGTAGACACGAATGGAACCAGTATTCCCAGATTCGTATGGAAAGCAACCAATTCAGTAACATTTAGGGACATTGTATCTTCATCCTTAAGCAACATACATATGGACTTATTACTTCAAGATCAGGTTGACAACATCGACTTTATTGTCAATGATATTTCACAAACAATACAAGATGCTGCTGTAGTATGTGGTATGGTGAGCAGACCATATCAGGACGAGTGGACAGAATATTTCAAAGAAGTTCTGAATGTAACAGGCAACTCGGTCGATCAACTCCATCTCGACAAAGCAGAGGAAATTCTACGTGATCACTGCAGTCTGTCATGTGATGTATGTCAGGATGATGACATTATGTACCTGCTCAATAGGGATATATCCGTAAAAGAGGTCAAGGCAGCTATTAGGAACTTAAAAGATGGCAAAGCAGCAGGTCCAGATGGTATAAAGTCAGAGATGGTGAAATGTTGTGGGGACTTACTCGCTCCATATCTAACTACCATCTTCAACGAGATATTAGTCACCGGAAATTATCCGATTGAGTGGGCCAAGGGTATAATCGTACCTCTTCACAAGAAAGGTGACGTCAACGATGTGAATAATCATAGAGGCATATCCCTCATGGATGTTTTGGTTTTTGTACAACTGACAATATATTCACTCTTCAAAGTTTGATTCAGAAATATCTCTCAAAACGAGGCGGTCGCTTTTATTGCATATTTGTGGACTTTAGAAAGGCCTTGGATTCAATTAATAGACAGCTTCTTTGGTACACACTAATCAGAAACGATATCCATGGCAGAATATCAAATGTGCTAAGGGATATGTACTCTAAAATACAGTCAGCCGTGAGAACAGGCACCAACTCAATCTCCGACTATTTTCAATGTTTGAGCGGTGTGCGACAAGGGTGCGCCCTCAGCCCTTTCCTTTTTACAATATTCATTTCAGAATTTCAAGTCATGTTGGAAAATGCCAATCTTAGAGGAATATTTGTCGACCCTGAATTTATGGAGCTGTTCCTGTTACTTTTGCTGATGACCTATGTATATTCGGCCGATTCTGTAATTGGACTTCAAAGAAAAATTGATATTCTACACATCTACTGTCTGACATGGGGAATGGAAGTCAACATGAACAAAACGGAAATCCTTGTCTTTCGAACGGAGGCTTCTTACGAAATTATGAAAAATGGTATTTACACGTATCACAGATTAAATGCTCAACATATTATAACTATCTCGAATAATGTTCTCCACTGACTGTCATGGACTAAATGTACCCGAGACACTTACCACTAAAGCCACTAAAGCCCTATTTGCTATCAAACGGGTATCTTATAAATATCCAAATATGTCTGCAAGTGTTCTTTTCAAGCTCTTTGACAGTAAAATAAAGCCAATATTACTTCACGGTGCAGAAGTATGGGGTCACCAAGATAGACAAGCTATTAACAACTTCCACTCTAATTTTGTAAATTTGTACTAGGTGTAGGTAAGCATGTGTCCAGTAACGAGTATTAGCAGAATGCGGTAGATATTGTATTAGTATTGACTATCAAATCAAATGTATCTGGTACTGGTGTAAACAATTATGTATGGCTACCGATAGGTACCCCAAGCAATCTTATATTCTTTTGAAAAAGCTTGATGATTGTAGCAGAATTACTTGGGCATCTTATATAAGAATATTGTTAAACACGTATGGATTTGGTTTTGTGTGGGTAAGCCAAGAAGTTGGTAGTGTAAATGATTTTGTATTTATGTTTAAACAAAGACTTGTAGATTCATAAAAGCAAAATATGTTTAGCAAATTTAAGGCAAAGCCAGGAGACAAAGATTAAATGACTGAATTTGTGAGAACATATAGTTTTCATTTTTCTACATAAAGGAATCAGCACGTTTATCTTATTACAAATCACTAAAGTCACTACTGGATGTTGAATACTATATTTCTAATGTACATCTAAAGGTATATCGACGTTATTTATGCTTATTACGTATTCAACAATTGCCTCTCCTATGTAACGTAAGATGTCCAGATGACAGTGGGTTAAGCAAAAATGTAATTTTCTGAATAAAATTGATATTTTATACTTATCCTGACTCATGCTACTTGCTTGTCTTCTTCTTCTTGCGAACACAGTGGAACACTTGTATCTCCCAATTGAAGTTCCCTTCAATGTAAAATCACTAATTAGTACTCACCACGAGTTATCTGTCCCCTCAAAAGCGCGGGAACGAGGGCGCCACCTCCTGCCATGTGCCTCACTCTCTCCTCATATATCGAGCCCAACACTTGAATTTTCAGGGAAATCCAAAGTGTGATGTGGGGAGGATGGGAGGGCTTACCTCATGAGTCAGGATAAGTATAAAATATCAATTTTATTCAGAAAATTACATATTTTTCCTTATCCTGACTCATGCTACTTGCTTGTAGAATCCGACGGATACGGAGGTGGGAATACAGAATACTTTGAATTTAGATAATTAGTGATTTGTACTGTAATGACTGTAATAACCCTTATGGGAACTTCATAAAGGCACTGAATTGATGAATTCCTGCTGCTAACTTATCAGCTGCCATATATGGGTTACTACAATATAAATATTATGATAAAAGTATATACAACATGAATACTATGCTTAAGACCAAATAGACTTAAGCTTGACAATAGCATAAACTTCATAGAGTTTATAAGCTAATATACCTTTATGATATAACTATAGTACTGAGCTTAAGATATGATTAAACTTAAGCTAAATATATAATAGCAAAAAAACTCCATAGAGTTTGTTAGCTAATATACTTTTATGATATAACCATAGTACTGAGCTTAAGATATGATTAAACTTAAGCTACATATATTATAGCAAAAACTCAGTAGAGTTTGTAAGCTAATATACTTTTATGATATAACCATAGTACTGAGCTTAAGATATGATTAAACTTAAGCTAAGTAGAGTATATAATATACTTTTAAATAACTCTTAAGATATGAGAGCTTTGTTAGCTAATAGTTAGCTAAAACTATTTGTTAGCTAATATAACCATAATATGAGCTTAAGATATGAATAACTTAAGCTATATATATAATAGCAAAACTCCGTAGAGTTTGTTAGCTAATATATTTTTATGATATGAGTATAGTACTGTGCTTAAGATATAATTAACTTAAGCTAAATATATAATAGCAAACTCCGTAGAGTTGTTAGCTAATATATTGTATGATATAACAACCATAGTACTGAGCTTAAGATAATAAAAGAACTTAAGCAAAATATATATAGCATGTAGCTATTTAGTACTGTTATAAGATAAGTAGAAATCTGTAAGATTGACTTATCTTCTCCGAGGAACTGTCAACTGTTGTGCGAGGACCATGGGACCGAAATGGTGGATACCTGAGACGTCCTCGGTGGTGATATCTCTCAGATAGTGGTTGGCAAACACCATATCGGATCTCCAGAAACAACCCTCCATTATGGTATTCAAAGAGCAGTTGCCGTGTAGAGCAAGTGTAGATGCTAGCGCTCTAATTTCGTGAGGATTAGATGCTCTTGGAGGGTCGAGTCCTGCAGCCTTGTAGGCACGTAGTATGACAGTTCTGATCCAAATGGAGATAGTAGTATGTGAGACTTCAGTCTGCATAGCTGTTGATAGAGGAATAAATAATCTCTTGAATTTTGCCCTCCTCTGTTTGGATCGGTGGAGATATATTTTCAGTGCTCTTACTGGGCATAGTGATAGATCCATCGTATCATGAGGTCCAAGTATAGATGAGAGAGCTGGGACGTGGAATAATCTGTCTGGTTGACCTGGCAGTTGGTTCTTGGCAATAAAATCCCAGCGTAGTCCCAGATGCACGATGTTATGAATATCATCAAAGCGTGTTCTCTCGTAATCCAATGCGTGAATCTCTGACATCCTGGCAGCCGTAGCTAGAGATAACAGGAACAAGGTTTTCTGAGTCAGAGATTCAAACGATGTAGATTCTAACGGTTCATAAGCCTCACTTGTGAGGTGTTGGAGCACTATATTCAGATCCCAAGCTGGAGCGTGAAACTTACGTTTTTGATCCTCCAATCGGAATGCTCGTAGCAAGGCGAGTAACTCTGGGGTCTTGGTTAACTTGACGCCCGTTCTCATAGTTCTCATAGTTATGACAGAGCTTATTGCTGCAAGATAAGTGGACAAAGTTGAGCCTTTTAGATTATTAGTCTGACGTAGATAACATAAGTAGTCCGCCACTTGAGGATGAGTAGCATATCTAGCTGTAAATCCTTTCTTTGCAGCATAATTGACAAAACTGTGCCATTTGTCATCGTATAAGTTGCAAGTTGAGTTACGCAGGGCAAGCGTGACTGCTTTTGCCGCTCTGGCTGAATAACCTCTCCTATTCAGACACGCCTTGATACAATCCATACGTGAAGTTGGAATATGTCTGGCTTTCCGTGCTTGTTTGGTGTATCTCTGTGTGGAGCATCCATCATTTGTGTGCGGATGTATTAACAGATTCGAGCACTCTGGAAGTTGTAGTATTGGTTGTCCGATTTCTTGAATAAGAATTGTCTGTGTGAATCATCAACTGAGCGTTCTGTAATAAGTTGCTCCAGTGATTTATGGCGTTTATAACTGCTTGCATCTCTAGCAGATTTATGTGTAACTTGCTCTCTTGATTGCTCCATAGGCTGACGCTGTCCTGTTGGCGAGATGGGCTCCCCAACCTTGTAGTGACGCGTCTACGTAGAGATGTGTTTCCGATTCCGGCTCTATTAAGGAGACACCTACGCAAACATTCGATCTCTTGGTCCACCATAGTAGGTGAGGTTTGACGTGATCTGGTAGCCTGAACGGTAGAGAGTCTTCGAGATGCGAATTGATGAGGACTTGCAACGGGCGTAATTGTAGTCTGCCTCTGACTGTCAAGTCTGTGAGTAATCCCAATAGGCTCTGCCACTGTCGTAGTGGTAGCGGAGAGAGTAAGGCTTGTGGGATTGATTGTTGGATCTTGATCCATCGGTCCTCCGGTACAAATATACGATTCTGCGCCATTACAAATCAAATACCTAGAAATTGCAGATCTTGCTTAGGTTCTAGATCCGACTTAAGTAGATTTACTAACCATCCTAGTTGTGTTAGTAGCTTGATGATGAAGTTCAACTGTAGTCTGAGACGCTGTGGATCTGGATCCACTTGTATCCCGACGTCGAGGTAAAACGCGCTGCGAAGTCCTTGACGATGTAGGTGAGCAACCAGGGGTGACTGCCATCGTTGAACTTTATGTAAAAAATCGCCTGACTGCCGTGCCCTCGTCCTTACTTGACAGGGGAGGTCTCTAATCTCATGAAGGCAGCCCAATCATGAAGGTTCAGTTTAACTGGACTGTATGGAGGCTTTGCTCGTTCACTGATATGTTGTTGTCACTTGCAACCTATGTCTTGAACTCTGAACTATGATCGACCTCTGCGTAGGGCGTTGTCCCTCGCGGTCCAATCAGAACAAGGCATTTTGATTCTGCAGAGTACCCGCGCTGTGATGTCACCGGTGTAGCAGGAAAAGGAACCTTGTATAATTTAGTGCCGTCGTTGATATTAGATCAATCCTTGGTTTTGTCCGTAACTTCCCGAAGTTACACGAGTGACCACGTGTTACGAGGGTTAATGGTAAACACGCGAATCTTCCGGCGCGCGAATTACCTCGCCCTGTATTATTAATGCTGGGTAGGTTATTTTCCTGGCTGCTGTGAATGTAACTTCAGTCTTGAAGATAATGCCGTCGTCCTTATATATAGGCTCAATAAAACTTGCAAGTTGTCAGCTTGTAGACTGCATACATCAATGCAGCGTCATAATTGTAGAATTAATGCTGAACTTGTAGTACATATTTCTTCTCAGGAAATCGTTGACGATTACGTGTTTTACTAGCTGTAACAAGGCTGCTGCTCAATTTCGTTATTGAATTGTCTGCAGAACTGCGTAGTGATCAACTTGGTGTGACTGTATGGCGACTTGCATGTAAATAATCGTATCGAAGTCCGGGATTGCATACCTAGCAATATATACGAAAATGGTGATTCCTGTGATGATCTGCGAACGTCGTAAATATCTGTAAATAGTATTTCGCGTAACTATATAACGTTCAAGTTAAAAAGTTAAGTACTGCGACATCTCTGTCTTGTGGAAGTCTGTGCGAATACCTACGCGCAGGCTCGGTAATGACATATAGCGTTCTGTTGATAAAAAATACAGCGACGTTCTGCGTTGTAAATAGCCTGTGCAAACCTCTGTGTTCTTCAGGGTCTGAGCTCGGTGAAGCACTCCTCCTCCATGAAGCCTTTCGCGAATGGTGAGGATCTGGGTCCTTCGTGGAGGCGGCCTGGGACATCCTTCGCGAAGGCTTCGATACGGGCTGGGTTGCCCTTCGTGGAGGCGCATTTGTGGGCTCTGGGGCCACGCGAAGTCATAGCGGGCTCTGGGGCCCTACATGACTTTAATGGGGTGGGCTCTGGGACCCGCAGCTCTGAGGCCTCTGTAAACCGTATCGGTCTTCCATCAGCAGCATCATCTGGTTGACCAGGTCGTCTTGGACGGTCTGCGCTGATGTGGACGCTGCCCCTCTCTATGGTAGCGACGGGACCCTCAGGTAGATTCTCTGCCGTCAGTGTAGACATCTCTAGCTGCGTGTTGATCTGCCCTGAGGTGACGGTAGCCGATACTGGTCGCTTCTTATGCCGTACATCGGGAATGATAATCGGTAGATCATCCATATAAGGCCAATTCTGAAACAGGAAGAATGTCAGATGAAAATCTTTTAGTAGTCTTCGTAGGTTTCACTTTCGACGAAGCTGTAGCCCTGGGGGTGCAGATCGTACGTTGTGACGACGTGGAAGCTCTCCTGGTCTTAGACTGGGACGACGGGATGTCCTGGGATGCAGGTCGCTTCTTGGATATAGCGGACTGCGTCCCACGCTTCTCCCCCGAGGGTAACTCAAGCGGAACACCAGACGGTAGAGGGTCGTCCGCCACAGTTGACAGGGTATATCTGACTCTGATCTATCAGCCATGACTGAAGTCTGTTTCCGTGAACTATCTGCTGCGCGTCTCAAGACGCAAAATAAATATTTATCAAAGGCAGAATTAGATAATTTTATACAATAATTGCAACGTGAAACAGTAGAGCATGGCGTAGTACAACTAGAGCATATTAAATGCGGATCAGCAGCAGAGAAACGTAATTTACAAATAGTGCAGATTTTCATTAACGCAATCTACTGAGCAAACACGGTGAAACCGTGAATAAAACTGTAGAAACACGAATAAATATCAATGCATCATGTATAAGGATACTAGTTACACCTCTATAGAAGATTATAAGAGGTACACAACTAAATATAAATAAAGGATATAATGTGTAGGGAGACACAGGCACTCTCACGTCCTGCTCACTGGGCGAAGAAGGAGAGAGTGAGGCACATGGCAGGAGGTGGCGCCCTCGTTCCCGCGCTTTTGAGGGGACAGATAACTCGTGGTGAGTACTAATTAGTGATTTTACATTGAAGGGAACTTCAATTGGGAGATACAAGTGTTCCACTGTGTTCGCAAGAAGAAGAAGACAAGCAAGTAGCATGAGTCAGGATAAGGAAAAATTATGTAAAATGTGTAACCGCTATAATTTTGAAGATGAATTACATTTTGTACTTGTCTGTGATGCATATGCAAATTTAAGAAGCAAATACCTACCCGAATTTAATTGTCCATCTGTTTTAAGCAAATATTATAAGTTGTTAACAAGCAAAGATAAGAATTTACTTATAAAAATTTCATTATTTATTAAACATGCACTATCTAAAAGGAATTCTATCCAATGTTAGAAGAGACATGTATATATATACCTATGTATATGTTTAAACCATATTGTCTATATATCATATACCACTTTGCATTTATTGTACACGGGTCAATGGCCTATATACCAAATAAATTCTTCTTCTAAAGGTTGTACCAGTTATAATTATTATTTAAGCCATCAAAGTCAATCCATGTATAACAAAATCATATACAAAGTGACACTGGTTGTTTGGGGTGATTGATACTTTATTGGTGAATTAGATGAGGTTTACGCTGCTTTTAGCAATATTCTTTCAGTATCATGCTCGGAGACACTAGAAAATAGGCTTCTGGTGAATCTAAGCAGGCAACCAAATCTGGGTCTTTTTCATCACAACAAACACTATAACCACAAGGTTACCTTGTTATTAAGACAATAACTATTACCAACATCACAAGCTAGAGCTGTCATCTACCTTATAGTCTTAAGTCTCTGCAGGAACCTCTTCTTGTGGCGATGAGTATGATACTTGGGATCCATCTGTCCACTTGGGTCAAACTGCTCCAAGTCCAGAACACCATCATCTGGCAGGATAGTTTCACACCAGATCCGACACACATTGTCTAAGCAGGATGTCACCAACATGTTGGCCACGGAACCTCTGTCAGAAAAGAAGAAAGAAATTCAATCTGATGTCAGAATACTAACATCTTAAAAAGAATGCCTGATGTGTGTATTTTTCATTTCTATTTTCATCCTAAAAATCAAGTTAATTAATCCCCATTACATACGAATGTGACAACAACAAAAGGATGATAATCAAGGCCTCGTCACTGCAGACAAATTCAGGACTCTGCAATGAACAGCCTGGATAAAATAACAGGGACCAAATCTCAAGTGACAGTGCACACCGACAACTGTTACTTATGTAAATCCACACTGATCAAAGATCATAATATGCTTGTCTCTGCAATCTGGACCCTTGAATCAGCAGGTCCTGGCATGATGATGGTATGCGACTCTGCAGAACAAGAAAACAGTGCTCAAGACACTGTTCTTATATTTCTGAGTTATCTCCCTTACCATGCCCAAGACGGAGTTTCTGAGTTCTCTCCCTTCACATAGCATAAGGAAATTCTACCACCACAGATAGCTGTTCCCAAGGTGGAGTTTCGGAGTGGTTTTCTCTTACCTTGGCATGAACTTGCTTGTTTTCCTCCAAGAGAAGCCAGTGACAGCACGAGGGTGAGAGATGTACACAAATGAGTAGTGTTGTTCCTCCACCTTGGGACTGATACTATCTGACCGGATCAACTGGGGACTCACTGAAACAATAATTCACTCTACTGCTGAACACCTCATAGCAACAAATGAGCCCGGGCAGAAAAAGTGAATAGGTGGGATTAAATGTATAAAAAAGACCAGACAGTCCAGTGTTCACGAATAGCATCTGACCCTCTGACAAATCTGGCAGATTTGCCAACGGTCCGACAATAGTCTACAACCCGCCAGCCCCAGTGTCTGACTGTATATTTCACAATGACTTTGACTGAAGTTGTTATATGTGACATGTGTCACTTGTTTGCTGTTTATAAATCTTATGTTTGTTTATAATTTCAATGCCAATTATAAGAAATGTTAAATCTGAAATGTGTGTTTAATTATATTCTATGGGCCCTGTGAATTTTCAATGGGTCAGACAGACATCTGAAACTTACAGGACCCAATGTCCTGTTACTTTGAAACACCATTCGTGAACACTGCAGACACAATCAGCTATCTGTTCTATATGACCCCATCCAATGCTGGAAATCACAGGGGTTTCTGGAGACGCTGAGATCACTTACTTATCTTTGGCAATATACTCAAATATGTCCAAACACAAATGTGTAACTTTGTCATCACTGTTATCTGTTGTTGAAACCTATACTCACACTTTCTGTCTTCATACCAGATTTTTACCAGTCTGTCAGCCTGAAATAATATATCATAAACACTGTACACACTAGGGCTGCTCAATATAACCGGTTTACCGGTATTTACCGGTTCAGACATGAAAACGATACGTTTCTGCGATACGCTGATCAAAAACCGGTATTTTGACTTGCATTCGGAAAACTTCGTAACACTCGGAAATCTTCGGATATTTCCTTTTTTCATTTGTGCCAAATATTATTCACATTTTTATTTTTAATCATAATAAAAGTTGTTATTAAAGCTTAATCAAGCATAGTGATTTTGCTTTGTATTTGCTCTATAAATCAAGCATTACCTCGTTTATAAGTAGTTTTTACTTCACGCAATATATTGCAATACATATCGCAATACATGCTTTTGCATCGCAATATATCGCAATATGAAAATTCTCTGCATTACCCACACCTAGTACATACATATGTGACCTGTAGTTCCTTCTACAACAGACATTAGTAATATGTATCTATCATCAAATATAAAACTATAGATAACTGGGATATAGAGAGGATCTACTCTGTAAGTCAAATACAAGTAACAACCTGGATGTGAGTAGTTGTTTCTTGGTAAAATCTAATCATTTTACATAACCATTTGTCTAAATTGAGCAGTAGACAAGGATGGATTTGATGAATGAAGTCTACCGCTGTAATATACGTTAACTGGATCATCTCATGACAGTTAACTAATGAACTGTTGAGAGGAAGCAACTGTTGAGAATGTTGTGTTCAGTATTTCAAAAGGTTTCGTCAATACATACCTTGCCTGCTGAGGCAAATACATAACCATCAGGAGAGAACTTTAAATGAAACACTGCAGAAGATGGTCTGAAAACAACATCATCATCACCATCATCATCATCATCATGTCTATATATATAGCACCTTAGCATGCTCATGCACAAACACAAAGGTCACAGCTGCCTTTCAAAAGAAATTGAAATATTTCTTGTAATGTCTAACCCACAACTCCACAATCCAACAGCAACAATCAATCCAGACAAGCACAGTCAACTAACGAACCCAATTCCCCAGAAGTCCATATAGTTCACATTCATAACACACTGGTTTCTAAAGGACCTTCAGCTTCATCCACCCTCAATGATCTAGTGAATTATGTCTTCATTCAATTATGAAAAATACTCCCACCAATACAGCCTTGTTTAGTTTCGAGTCAAAGTATACAACACCAGAAATAGCTGTCCAATCAAATTACACTTACGAGCAAGAGAAAATACATGTGAAGTAACTGACAAGAGAGAGGCAATGAAAAACTTACTTGCACTTCCACACACTGTCCCATTCTGTCACATGAGGCTCAAAGCTTCGATCCTTTTCTGGGTGCATCACGTGACTGAAGTGCGTGTGAATTGGATCATCATCCTCCCCTCCTGATGGGCCAACGCTGAACTGGACTCTCTTGGCGGAGGCATCGTCCTCACTGGGATCACGGTGGCTCATTTGCCAGATTTGGATTATCTCCCCTCCCGTCAGAAGTTTTGACCCTGAGACAGACAGATCATAGCGAGCGAGTGAGTATGGTTTTACGCCGCTTTTAGCAATATTGCAGCAATATCACGGCGAGGAACACCGGAAATGGGCTTAACACATTGTACCCATGTGGGCAATCTAACCCAGGTCTTCAGCGTGACGAGCGAACGCTTTAACCTATAGGCTACCCCACCCCCCCAGATCATAGCGATGGGTATATGTACATCTTATTGTAAAAGACATAATGGGAGACAACCAGGTCGATGCAGATGTCCCATCACAGAAATTCCTGTGATTATTTCAGAGTATTAAAAATAATTATTGACAAGAAATAAACACAGGTCTTTAGCATTGTGTGGTTGATTTGATAAGATTTCAAAAGGATGTAGACATGGTAGCATTATCAAGTTTCAGATTGAAAAGTAGAATATGTTTATCACCAAATGTGATTCCTAATCAAGGGGACATGTGAGGCATCATAATGAAGGATATGGCAATGTCCTCATGATTATCAATAATTAATGACAACTCACAACTGAAATAAGAAACTACAGTAGATAAAACTATAATAGGAAACTAATATATGTATATAAATGTTAGGAACCAGGTTGTCAAACTGTGAATTCATCTGGCCAAGGCCAAAATCTGACCTCATTCACAACTGTAATGGGTAGATTATTCATCTCCGCTGAACTATTCTGTAAGTCAGCTTCACTAAAATATTCCCATTACCTCACTATTCTGACATCATATTCAGAAGAACAGCAGAACTTCTGTCAACATGTTAACAAGGGAGGAAGATTAAGCAGTGAACATTTTCATGTTTTTCACCGACTTTACGAGGAGTGGGATGAATATTTACTCTAAAACCAAGCCTGCCCAGAGGGCTAGAAGGACTTTGTCTTCACATGGCCCTGCAAATGGTTAATCAGTTAATAGTCCTTCGAAATTATTAAGAATTTCATATTTCCAATTTTCATACATTAAAATATTAAGAAACAGGGCTGGTTTTGTCTTCACTGCAAAATACATTTACAGAACAGGTTAAAATACAGGACTTCATATTGCTAGAACTACAATTTGGCTTGACTAAAGTTATTTCCACCAGCCTACAGGTAAGTATTTATTTCACTCTTTGCAGGACATATTTATTTTATTTATTTTACTAATTTCGATTCTCTGTGGAGACTACTGAATTCCCTTCATGTCTTGTTTTGTTTTCCATACTTTACATATACCGTTGGGATCAATACAAACTTATATTCAGTGAGAGAAATTAAGTACAAAAGTCAAAGGACCTTGCTGTAAACATATTTTTAAAAGGTAAACATTGGTGATCCCTCGATCATTGGAAATGGCCCCAAGGACGATAAGATGCCCTGAATTTCAAAACAAAGATAACAAAAATAAAATTGAGATTAACCAGTGCATCTCCCACACATTCCAAGGCAAAAGTTATCAGTTTCCGCATATACAGCCTTAATCCTTGGACTAATCCCTCCCACGGACCGGATATACACAAACACCACGCTGTTTGTGCCCTAGTCTTGACCTCTGTCTCCATGTAATGAGACAGATTACACATAGATAAAACCACAGTGACCAGCAGTGCTGTGTTGTAACAAGAGGCTCACAGTTTCATGTATTCATGATATTCATTGCTCCCCACAACACCCACTCCTTATGGTAGGCTATCATACCGGTAGCTGTCCGGGGCTGGACTGGAACAGGTTCATCATGTGAGTGTGAGTGAGTGAGTGAGTAAGTTTAGTTTTACAACACTTTTAGCAATATTCCAGCAATATAAAGGTGGGAACACCAGAAATGGGCTTCACGCATTGTACCCATGTGAGGATAAAAAGAAGACTTTTGGTGCTATGGTATATAATTGTTAACAAAATAAAGCCTTTGCTATGAAATGGTTCAAAAGTAAGGCCTTTTGAGCTACAACATGTAACAGGTGAAAATTAGGACCATTGGTACTGTGGACACATGTCAAAATTAGGGCCTTAGGAACTAAAGATGATACAATCTTTAGGTCAAATGATCGTATTCCATCCCTGAGCTGTTTCTGGACTGTTAAATATAGTCTAAGAGAAAACATATACATTGTGTAATCAGTGGATGGGAACAAACCACTGACAAACCACACAAACAGATTTGAGTAAAATATTGAACAAAATCATATTTCTATGAATGAATCAATATCCATAGAGACAAGCTGGCAGGACAGTTATCGACTGTACCATGAATAACACGACTTCACCAAATCAATTAAAACTATAGAAAAAACAATAAAGTCAATATCTGGTGACCGAATCAACACCAAGGCCACTGAACAGCACTGTCACACTGTCAACCACAGAATCTTTTTATTGTCTTTAAGACCCCATGAAACAATATTAGTGTTTACAGACCGGCCCACTCGAGGGAACCTTACCGTAAACTTCTCTAACCCCCATTTATTTCAAGAATTCCATGTTTTCTCTCTGTATCTAAGACCTAAACAGAATCAAAGCATTCAAAGACTTAGAGTTACCTTACATTTAACTACAGTATGAAAGCAGGTGTATGAAAGATGGCTACCAATGTAGCAAATACCAAATACCATATTTCCTCTATTAGATGTCAGACCTCGAACACATACTAGCTTCTAACTGTACTGGGTCATATGCTCTGTCAAAAAACAGAATCCGGGCCTCTCTGATCCGCTGGGTCTTTTACACTCTTATATGTTGATGATTAATAATTATGTAATTTTTAGAGTAAAATTGATATTTTATACTTATCCTGACTCATGCTCTTTTGCTTGTCTTCTTCTTCTTGCGAACATAGTGGAACACTTGTATCTCCTTATTTGAAGCTCCCTTCAAAATAAAATCACTAATTGGTACTCACCACGAGTTGCTCCCCTTTGTCTCCCCTGGCGGGAAAAGGTGTCGCCACCCTCTGGCCATGTGCTCCACTCTCTCCTGATTTAGCGAGCCCAACACTTGAATTTACAGGAAATCCAAAGTGTTATGTGGGGAGGATGGGAGGGTTAACTCATGAGTCAGGATAAGTATAAAATATCAATTTTACTCTAAAAATTACATATTTTTCCTTATCCTGACTCATGCTCTTTGCTTGTAGCATCCTAATGAACGGAGGTGGGTAACAGAATACTTTGGATTTATAATTAGTGATTTTGTATAGATATACTGTAATATCTCCCTACGAAACTTCATGAAGTCTTAGATTTAGGATGTATCCTGTATAAAGAAAACCATAGGTTATATAAAGCCATTAAAGGGGAATTACATTATGAATATATTGAACAATACATATAAATTATATATATATATATATAGGTGACTCTGATAGAGGCACTGAAATTGACTATATCCAAGTATATGCTTAAGGTAGAATACTTAAGCTGAACATATATACATAGCCCTAAAACTCCTTAGAGTTATAAGCTAGATGAGTATGTATAAAATACATATTAATCTTGTGAGGCTAATATTTTAACGCCACTGAGGGACTGTCAGTTGCTGGCGAGGACCAGTGGTCCCAATGGTGAATGCCAGAGACATCTTCTGTAGTGATGTCTCTTAGGTAGTGATTAGCAAATACCATGTTAGATTTCCAATAGCATCCTTCCATAATAGGTGTTCAAGGAACAGTTACCGTGTAGGGCGAGGGTAGAGGCCAGTGCCCTGATCTCATGTGGATTTGATGCTGTTGGTGGGTCCAAGCCTGCTGCCTTGTAGGCACGGAGAATGACAGTCCTTATCCAAATAGATATTGTGGTCCGTGACACTTCTGTTTGATTCGGGCTTATAATGGGATGAATAAACGTTTGAGAAATCTTCTCCTTGTTTTGGATCGTCAGAAAATAAACTTTGAGCTTACGGACACAGTGATAGGTCTTGTGTATCTTGTGATCCGAGAATAGAGGATAGCGCCCGGGATGTGGAATAATCTGTCTGGTTGACCTGGCAGTTGATTCTTTGCAATGAAATCCCATCTTAATCCGAGGTGCGCTTGTGTTATGATTGTCATCAAACTGTATCCTCTCGTCCAGAGCCAAGTGAATTTCAGACATTCTTGCTGCTGTGGCTAGCGATAGCAGAAACAATGTTTTCTGTGAGAGAAATTCAAAGTTTGTCGATTCCAGGGTTCATAGACCTCACTTTCGTGAGGTGTTGTAACACTACATTCAGATCCCAAGTTGGAAGTGGAACTTCCGCTTTGGTCCTCCAATCGGAAGCTTCGTAGTAAGGCCAGTAACTCTGGAGATCTTGTCAATTTGACACCCGTTCTCATGGTGATTACAGAGCTAAGCCGCAAGATATGTTGATATCGTTGAACCTTTTAAATGTTTGTTTTGGCGTAGGTAACACAAATAGTCTGCCACTTGAGGTTGTGAAGCCTCTCTTGCTGTAAACCCTTTCTTTGTTGCATAATTTTTGAAACTGTGCCACTTGTCGTTAGAGTACAAGTTCACGAAGTTGAGTAACGTAGCAAGCGTGACTGACTGCTTTTGCCGCCCTGGCAGAATATCCTCTCTTGTTTAAACACATTTGTATACAGTCCATAATGTGTAGTTGGAACATTGCTGGGTTTCCTTGCACTTGTTTGGTGTGAGGATGAATTAACAGGTTTCTTGGCGCTTGGGTAGCTCCAGTGTTGGTTGACCGATTTCTTGAATTAGTATGGGAAACCACGTTCTGGCCGACCAGTAGGGCTAGCGACCAAAGTGAGTTGTAGGCTCTGTGTTTGTCTGATTTTCTGTAATACTTGAGGTATTATTGCTGGCGGGCGGAAACGCGACGCATTGAGGCCTTCCATGATAGACTTAAATCCGTTGCCCAAGCTTGGGGGTCTGGGACTGGTGACACAGATGTCGGTAGCTGATTGTTGAATCGCGTGGCGAATAGGTCTATTAAGCCGGCGCCCTAATTGCTTGATTATCTGTGCAAAATTTCCGGTTGATCATCCACTCTGTCGGTGATGGTAGATGAGGCCGAGAGAGCCGTCTGCTAGTATATTTCTGGCTCCGGGGAATGTGCACTGCTTTGACATGTAGATTTAGATCTTGTATTAAATCGAACAGTTGAAAGCTTAGGTTCAAAAGGTTCATCGATCTCGTTGAGCCTTGCTTGTTTATGTAGAACGCCACTGTCGAATTGTCTGTATGGATCATTAGGCCGCATTTTGTAGAAATGTGCTCCAATGTAGAATGGCGTTGATTACAGCTTTCATTTCTAGACTGTTTATATGGAGTTTGCATTCTTGCTGATTCCATAACCCTGATATCGTGTGGTTGGTGAGATGAGCTCCCCAACCTTGGAGTGACGCTGTCTACATACAGATGGGTTTTGTATTCCTGCTCTGCTAAACAAATCCCTTCGCAGACATTCGATTTCTTGGTCCACCATAGTAGATGTGGTCTGAGATGTTTCGGTAGACTGAATGGTTGTACATCGTTGAGATGTGCGTTGATGAGGACCTGTAGGGGACGTAACTGTAATCTGCCTGTGACAGTCATGTCTTGGGCTGATGTGAGAAGACCTAGTAGGCTCTGCCATTGTGCGCGAGTGGTAACGGAGAGAGTAGAGCTGGTGGAATGGTCTGTTGTATCTTGAGCCAACGGTCTTCTGGTACCATAATACGGTTGCGATTTGTGATGAATCGAATACCTAGGAACTGTAGGTCTTCTGGTACCATAATACGGTTGCGATGGTACTAGGTCCGACTTGCGTAAGTTTACTAACCAACCTAGTTGTGTTAGTAGCTTTATGATGTAATTTAACTGTAGTTTGAGACGCAGTGGATCTTGATCTACTTGTATCCCGTCGTCGAGGTAAAACGCACTCATTAGCCCTTGACGATGTAGAAATTTGATAATCGGTTTACGTTATCCTCGTGAATAGCCAGGGGCTGATGATATTCGAATGGAGTACTTTCCACTGGTAATGTAGCCCTTCTAGAGTAAATCGTAGGTATTTCCTGGAATCGGGATGAATGGGGATGTGCAAGTAGGCATCCTGTAGATCTATGCTGCCCATGTAGTCCATAGGGCCTAATCATCTGGCGTAACTGAGGTAAATGTATCATCTGCGAAACTTCGTGGTTTCGTAGATAGTTCTTGTTGAAAAAGCTCATGTTGTAGATGAGTCTGTATTTCTCCGTGGAGTTTTCTTGGGAACTAGGAAAACTGGGGAGTAGAAACCTGGTTCGACGTTTGCTTGATCTATTACTTCTATGGCCTGTTTGGATAGGAGTGATGAGACAGCCTCTTTTATCTTTGGTAGTTGTTGCGCTTTGTAAATCGAACTTGGGGGTTTGATTGTCAGCGGAGGCTTGTCCTGTAGAGGATCACGAAATCCGTGTTGAATAATGTTGGAGACGTAAGGATCTTGCAGTATTCCCCAGTTTTCCCAGTGTAGTTGGAGCGTCCACCCACTTGAGCTGGTTGTACTGGAGACGGCTGGGGTGGAAGACTCCAGTCGTTCGAACCTGTGTTTCAGCGTCTATAATTGCGGGAACCTCTGGGTGTCCTGCCTCTTCCTGATCCTCCTCTATAGTTGCCATATGGGCGAAGCGAAAAAAAGAATCTTTACCTCTAGAGCTGGCTATCTTCCTGTCTCTTGCTCTTTGTAGGCCCGCGGAACTTAGATCTGCCTGAGTATCTTTGTGAAGTCTGACGAATGACGCTGGCTAGTGTGTCCATCGATCTAATCATAAGGACTTCCCTGGAATCCTTAGAGACTTCCTTGGCGACCTTGTCGATTTCTCCGTCAAAGATGGATGTTGTCGACCACAGGGGCTGTATAAAGTGGGGCTGTAAAGTTCTCCCCAATTACAGGAGGCGAGGAGGCCTTGACGACGAGCTAAGGTCAGTGCTGCTGAAACAGATGTAAGATGATCCGTTAAAACTGCTGATCTTTCTTTTGCATAAGTAAGGCAGAATAAATCATTCTATCATCTTCCGTCGTGGAATCCCGAATCTAGTAATAAGAGTCTCATTGATCGTCCTAGATCTATTTAACCCAAAGAACATAACGTCTCGTCATGGTTTCTATATGAGCCAACTTGCGATCATCCATCTTGTAAATCTTGTTCTTTACATAAGCTGATGATCTTATAGTTCTCATCGATGTCCTGGGCCTTGTAGAAGGAGTCCATGTTATCGTGGAGAACTTCTTGGCTTGAAAGTTGGGTAGATGTGGTATCTGAACTTTCAGTAGCTTTCTGGAAAGCTGCATCTAGATTCTGTGGCACTGCCGCAATCGGGTCGATCGGGGGTAGAGTGATTGCATCTGGATCATCTTCCTTCATCAAATACGTCTGAGCTGTATTGCCACTTTTAGATGGTGATGTGAGATCTAGGTTATTGACCATCCAATACCGTATCTCTGCATCAGAAAATATGATTCCTCCATCATCCTCAAAACCATCATCATTAATAAATTGTAGATGCTCTTCGGGACTGCGTGTAGCTATCTGAATATCTGATGAGGTTTGTGGCGATCTAGTTGACTTGTGCGCCGCTCTATGTGGAGATCTGATGGGTGATCGACCTGGTGATGAACGGAGTGGAGATCGTCTATGGGATGATCTTCTCGGAGACTTGTGAGGTGAATGTTGATAGCCCGCTGGCTCTTCGGCAGTCCTCGATGTTCTTCTAGACGATGAAGATCTGGAATCATATGTCTTTCGCGAATGCCTTCGCGAAGCTTCATTTGCGTCCGGTCCGGGGGATCGATGATATGACCTTCGCGAAGGCTTCCGTGATGTCTGATGGTCTGAGTCCATATCTAGAGATGAAATCGAAGATGGTGATGATCTCTCCCGCCTTCGCGAAGGCCTTCGCGAAGGCTGTACATCTAGGTCCTTCGTCAAGGTGGTGCGGGACTTCCTTCGCGAAGGTGACATCGTCTTGGCTGCTACGTTGACGGGGGGTGCCTCTGGGGTGCTGTCTACGTTGGAGCCTTCGCGAAGGCTCGGACCCTGCTTAGCGCAGTTTGTAGTGGTCCTCCATGATGTTCATAATCTGCGCATCATGTCTTCTGGGATGATCTGTGACGAAGTCGTCGGCGTCTTTTCTGCGATGGGGTTCACATCAATGGCGTCTGACGCCGGTGTAGAGGCATCAGGCTGCATGGAGATCTCTGCAGAAGTCACAGTCGCTGACACCGTCAGCTTCTTCTGCCGTAAGTCGGGGATGATTATCGGCTGATCATCGTAGAGGCCCAACTCTGCTGCTGGAACGATCTCGGCTGAAAGTTCTTGCTGTCTTCGTAGATTTCCCTTTGGAAGTCTGCGCTGCCCTGGGTGTCCTCAATCTGCGTTGAGACGAGCGATGAGGCCCTCTTAGACTTAGTCTGCAATGACGGGGATGTCTGGGGAGGCGGTCGTTTCTTCTCCGAGGTAACGGACTGCGTCCCCACGTTCCTCTGCCGCGAAGTCTCTAGCAGAACACACCAGGCGGAGAGAGGTCGATCGCTAGCAGCTGACTGGAAGGAATATCTGGACTCTCTGCCATGTTTTGCCCTTGTTTCAGCGTGATCTATCTGCAGCCGCGTCTTAAGACATAAAGATGATATTTATTAAATGCAGAATGAGATAAATTAATGCAGTAACTGCAACGTGAATTAAACGCACACGGCGTTAGAACAACTAGGGCATATTACATGTGGATCGGAGGCAGAAAACGTAATCTACAAATCGTACAGATTTTCATGAACGTAAAGCTAGCTGAACAATCATCGAATACCGTGAATAAACGGTAGAAATCACGATAATTAATCAATACAAATAGTAAAGGATACTAGCTATACCTCTATAGTAACCTATGAGAGGTAAAAACTAAGAGATTATCAAAGGATATGTGTGTAAGGAGACACAAGGCGCTCTCACATCCTGCTCACTGGGCGAAGAAGGAGAGAGTGAAGCACATGGCCAGAGGGTGGCGACACCTTTTCCCGCCAGGGGAGACAAAGGGGAGCAACTCGTGGTGAGTACCAATTAGTGATTTTATTTTGAAGGGAGCTTCAAATAAGGAGATACAAGTGTTCCACTATGTTCGCAAGAAGAAGAAGACAAGCAAAAGAGCATGAGTCAGGATAAGGAAAAATAATATTTCTGCAAATATCCCCTTTTTAATACAGGATTTAAGACTTGGGAAGGAAAATACATCAGTGCATCAGACACTGAAAACCTGAAAAACGGTACCACGTTTTGGATGGTCTGCAAAAGGAAACAGAGACATACTTGAAGTATGAACTATCTAAATCCTGAATATTCACCTTCCATGTTCCAACTGAGGCAGTTGACGAAGCATTCTGTTTCAATAGTCGCAGTCTTGTACCAGCGATAGTCTAGTTTCTGTTGACAAAAAACGAACACGCATTACATGTGAGCTGTAGCAAGGGATGAACATACAATGGATGCAAGTTCTCATTGTGACAGTAGACATGGTAGATAACTCACAAACTAAGACTTCTATGAATCAATGAAATATTTGAGTCCCAGATCTCTATTAATGTCATGCAATCTTTGTGAAAAGTGTCCATAATATGTTTATTTAAAAGTACAACTATCATGCTTTTGCAAATAAAAAATCTAATTCTGAAAACAATTACAAGAAATTCATCGAAACAATAGAAATGCATAAATATGCAATTAACATGATTAATTAAGGAATTAAAATCAAGCCAATCATGCTTGATGTGTTGCACAAATAAAATGAAAACACTATTTTTAGATTCTGATTGAGAAGCACGAAGACAATTTACCAGGTGACATCAGACAAAGTGACATGACATTTATTTTCTTCCACGACATCTTTATGACATTGATATTGACCTTCCCCTTTGCACAAAGTCAGCTGCATGATGGTCGGTGCAGCCACATGCACAAACCTGCAGCTGTGACTGCAAGCGCAAACCTCACACACTTATCCATACACCTGGCGACATGGCAACCAACATAAAATACCGCAAATGTCACAACACTAAAATAAGCTGTTTTTCATAGACACAAATTTGTCCAAATACACAAAGCACAAGCAGTCATTCAAAATAAAATTTAAAATTCTTTAATCCCATTTCACAAAGCAAAATTACCCTATAATCAAAACTCATATTCATATTGGAAGACAATCATCCATTCCAAATCAACAGCAAATTGTAGTAAAAATACCAAAAGGTATTAAAAAGTTCCCATTTTATGTTCATAAAACTATGTTATGGCTGTGTAGAAGTGACTTGTACAACATTAAAGTAGGAACAATAAAATAAGGACGCTTTTATGTATAGATTTACATCACTGCCTAACATTAATTACATTATATTAATTAATTACATAAATTACATTAATTACACTTTCCCCAATTTGCTTGCAAGGTTACTTAGTTTGGAATCCATGATAAATCGCTGTGCATCTGCTTTGATCACATTGTGAAGTATGCCTAAGGATGTAACTTTATCACAAACATAATTGCTTGTGCTGTCAACAACGGCAAGTTATCAGTTGGGGTAGGATGAACAAAGACTACACTTTGTTGATTTTGATAGTGAACAATAAGAGACATTGTCAACTCATGCAAAAAGCAAATGACTTTACCTCAATATCACCGTCCTCGCTACATGGCAACAATTTTGGTTTAAACTCGGACCTAACTATAAAAGCCTGGTTGACCACAATCTTGTTACATTGCAAGATAAAACAATCCTAAACCTTGAACATGGCTGTCGGACTTTGCAACAATATTCTCTGATTAATGTTGCCCATATTTCATGCCTTCAGTAACCTGAAAATTCCTACAGAGAAAACTCCTGAAAATAAATAAAAGGAAAAAAATACCAATAAAAGCTTCCTATTTTCAATCGGTTGAATGAAGTTTCACTTGGATCAAGTGAGATGTGAGATTGGATTACCATGTTTACATGACTTAATCAATACGTCATTGATTCGCTGAGTTCACCGTGCTACACGCAGTGACAACACTTCCACATGTTTGTCAATAACTATATGTGCACACTAGTTTTCACATCAAACAATACTCTCTGTCCTTCAAACTGTACTATATAGAGCAGAATAAGGATAACTTGTATGATATTTAAGTCTTTTCACTAAGAAGGGGTTGAGCTGATATTGTTTAAAGACGATTTTTGAAATACCTGTATCAGTGAGGGAGTGGTATTTCAGTTGTCAGTTTGATATTGGAAGACAGCCCAAAGAGATTCAGGTCTCAAGTCTTTACCCCTTGGTGAAACCCATGAGTACAGATATAGTGGTGATCACTGATATCCAGCAACTGTGACATTTCTAGGGGAGGCAACTCTCACATTTCTAAGGGAGGCAACTCTGACATTTCTAAGGGAGGCAACTCTACACAGTGAAGCCCAGCACCTTAGATGACAAAGCTATGTGTACAGCATCTTTTGCTTGACAAGGAAACTTCTCAGCTAGACTATGTGGGTGCCCCATATGAAAGTAAGCATGTGAACTTTGAAGGAGTTTTACATTAGAAAGCAGTATAGTAATTACCAGCAACCTCAGGCATACAAATCAGCATGAAGCTTACCAGACAACTAACAACTGACCCATGACACCAGGGATCATTCTCAACCTGCCAGTACACCTAGCATCTGTCCTCCAAGATGGTCACTCATACCTACCTATACTCAGTGACCATAGCAACTAAGTCTGGTCGACCTTCTCTCAGTAAAGCAAGTTCACGTTAAAACAGTCCAAATAAACCAAACTAATGAAAATGAAGTCAAAAGACACTTTAAAAATGGTCAACAATTGGGTGCTTGGATAAAACAAAAATAAGAATAATCCTCAATTAAGTTAGAACTGGATGTTATAAAACAAAAGTGAATCTGGAGTAGAGATTGGTAGAACATAACCTTGATCTGTGCACAAACTACAACACTATAACATTCAATAGGATTTACAAGAGATCAGAATCACATTGAAGTCTCTCATAACAGATATATATACAGATACTGTAGCGCAGACATGGCAAGGGTAAGCTGTTTTCAGGGGTTAAAATTCCACTGCATTCAGGCCTGCTCAAATAATCCTGTATAGAAGAAACACGGACATGCTGTTGATCCAAAACGGTGTTTTTGACACAGATGCTGTTTAGTACACACAAATTAATTTAACCCCTGAAACTATAAAAGTTAGGATAACAAGTTAGTAGTCCCAACATCAAGATGAGCACTTCTAACAAAGACTAACAATGTCACTTCATATGTAACTTCCAAATAAACAACAGATGAGGACATTTTCAAGTAGAAAGATATTAATTCATTCTTTTAAATTCAGGGCTCATTTTGCAACAAATATTTGATTAATTTTCAGTTGGTTAGTTTCTTTTGCCTTTCTTCTGCCGCACTCAGCAATATTACAACCAAATGCAGGCAGTCTGTAAATAATCAAGTCTGGACCAGACAAACCAGTGACTGATATCATGAGCAACATCCCACTGTCAGGATATGGTGACATGTAATCAACCAAGACATAATCTCTGAAATATGAATCAAGTCAAAGTTCAAATTAAAACCTTTCTACTTGTACTGGAAAACAGTCATCAAGAAATCACTACGACAATGGTAATTGGAAACCAGAATATCAGACAGCACTATGGCGATTTACCATGAGGAATTAAGGACAAGTAAATTATGTAATGAAACATCTTCTGATAATGCTCTGAAAATTTAACTCAAAATTTTTTTTTAGCATTTACAAAAAAAAATTCTGGAATCATAGCAGCAACAGGTTTCCTGTCTGACCCAAATTTATTTGTTCAGGTGAAGCAAATACAATTCATTGCACATTCAACCTACAATGAGTAAGTGAGTGATTTGGGTTTAAAGCCTCTTTGAACAGTATTCCAGTTAAATCCCTGTGTGTGTGCAAAATATGAGATGAAAGCCCTAAGTGTTGTATGCTTTGGACATTTACAACTTTGGCTCTGAGACATTCAACACAGAATTGGTGCAATACAGGACTCAACCCACAATCTTGGTTTCTGGTGTGCCAAATGGATGTATGCAACTCTATACATCAACTTGTGTCTCCTTAGACTGGGCCACTCATGCCTACCTACCTACATGATAAGTTACTCATATGGTTGAAATGTCAGCATTGTCAGATTTTAGATATAACTGTACTTTTATATTCCTTATTCGAAAACAGCAAGTTCTCTTAAAGGTTGCCAGTTATAATTAGACTTAGTGTTAAATTGTTTTTTCATTTTCATTTCTGTATGTGTCTCTGGAAACCACTGGAATAAGGCAACCATAATCTAGAGGGAATGTTTACGCCATAATTAGGTGTGTTTGTTTGCTGTTTAACACTGCTCTCTGCAATCTTCCAGCTGTATTATAGCGGTTTGTAAATAATGTAGCGTGGACCAGAAAATCCAGTGAGTGATATCATGAGCATCAATCTACTCAACTGGATTACAATGACAAGCATCATCCAAGTCAGTGAGCCTGACCACCCGATCCTGTTAGTCACCTTTTACAAAAGGCCCGAGTTTCTTGCTAGGATCTTCATGGGTATTGCCAGTATGAAATTCAACTGAACTTGTCAATTTTAATAGGGTCTGATCATTGTCCTCTACAATAATCAACAGACAAGAATACCTAACATGTACCATCATGATAATCTCATATCTATCATTTACACAGTCAATAACAATGTTAGTGTATATGTGGAAACAATAATAGATATACCATAACGCTTTCAAATTTTATATTGGCAAAAAACATACCAGTACATGAAAAATATAATCTGTCATGTGTATAAGGTAACAATATTAGCAGTTAGTAATGTTAATGTGATTTCTGGCTGTAGTGTATTGGCTGTGGTCCTATATATCAGGTGAGTGCAGAAAGCAGGGATGCACAGTGGTAGTGTTGTCATGGTAACATTGGTCCCTTGTCAGCCTGTCCATCCTATGTATGACAAGTGTCGTCTTTTTGTGCATTTTCCCCAATATTCGGTTAAAATTCAGTAGTCAGAAAATAGTTTGGTCCGGGCCAGGCAAGCCAGTGGTTGATAATATGACAGGGAATATAATATGTTTGGGAAACATAATTCACAAGTTTGTTTGTCGTTTAACACTCAGCAATATTGCAACTATATGGCGGCTGTCTGTAAATAACTGACTATATAGAACTATATATTTTTAAAAATGCAAAGTAGAAAATACAATCTAACTTTTACCATTCATAACACTTTCTAGCTTTGAAGGATTCAAGCCATATTCATGCTATGTACTTCTTCTGAGTCAAGATTTTGCAATTCCACATGCAGTATTGATTATAAGACTAACAAACAGAGTAAATACATATAAAGAACTTGCATAAGATCCTTCAAATCTTGCATTAACAGCAATATTGAAAAATATACCCAGAGAAACAAAGGAACACAGGAAAATTCAAGCGTTCCTTTATTATATTCCAGTTTTCATCACCACAGCCCTATTCAAAGCTGGTGATGAAAACTAGAAAATATTAAAGGAACACTTGAATTTTCCTATGTTCCTTTGTTTCTCTACATATATTAGAAAGATAAGAAAATCAACTATCAGGTAGCTCTTTCTGTTGGTTTGAGAAACCAAACCACAATAAAATGACTGGGATGAAAGTGTAAGAAAAACTAAATGCACAGGCCAAATATGATTAAAAGTGTGTATATATATAAACAGTAGTGATTTCTTGATGGGAGGACATGAACTTGATAAAGACTCATGCTAACGCAGGAAAACCAGCAAAACAAACACACAAACCTTTGTATGTCCCTGAAGGAAAAGAACAAACACAATAACATGGTGTAGTGTAAGACAGGTGTACATGGCTAAACTAACACCTGGCTAGTATGTCATGGTTTACAGTTTTTATTATGAAAGGATGAAACACAAATATTTCAGATTTACATTTCTAATGTATCTAAACATGTTGCCTTTGTGCAGTGATGGAAATTGGGGTCTCCTTGCTTATCCAGTTTAACATAAACTTGGGAATCATTTTTGAATGTTGAACAACTATTTGTCATCCGTTGAACTGAATGAAATAATGTTGTTTTTTATTTGAGTTTTGATTTGATTTCTGGTCAGCTGATCTGTAAACCAATTCTAAAAAGGTCAAAGGGACCGTTCTTAATTTATTGCAAGGGGGCTGATGATGATTTTAAGGAGGGGGTCACCCATTTTGTTCTGGGGAGGTAGGGGGGTCATCAATTTTATACACATGTTTCTAGGGGGTCAGCAATTTTGTGTATAAAAATATTTAAAATTATGCTTAAAAAATATTGGAAGGGAGAGGGGGTCATTGATTTTGTACATGACATGCAGGGGATCCACTTACTTTGTACATGAATTTTAGGGAGGGTCATTCACATTGTACATGCTTCTCCATAAAAATCATCATCACCCCCCCTGGCCATAAATTATGAACGGTCTCTAACCATACCATTTTACACAATCATTTAATCAAAAACACTATTACAGTGGAACTGATTGAGCAAACTCTTATACTGTAATGGTGGTTCAGTGATGGGAGCATTCCACCACAAACATAACGATAGGTACATTATACAAAAAACTATCAAGGACCTTTGTACACATGTACCAGTCAACATTTTCTTGTATAACATATACTTGACACGTCCTTGTACCTTATGGCTATCTACAATATTAATTTGGTTCAACAACAGTTCAAGAGACCATGTACAAGTAATGCCCAAATTCTCTATTGTCTCCCTTGCTTACATGGGAATGACTTGAAAACAGAAACCAAGAAACCAGAAACAGGAATTTTTTGTTTGCTTGCTCGTTGTTGTTTAATGCCTTACTCCTCAATATTCCACTAAATGGCGGCGGTCTGTAAATAATCGAGTCTGGACCAGACAATCCAGTGACCAACAACATGAGCATCGATCTACGCAGTTAGGATACAATGACATGTGTCAACCAAGTCAGCGAGCCTGACCATCCGATCTTGTTAGTCGCCTCTTACGACAAGCATGGGTTGCTGAACACCTGTTCTAACCCATATCGTCATGGGTTACAGGAATTGGTACAATAGCAAGTGATCATCAGATCATTAAAGTTATCCTGCTTATTAAATACCTTCTTCTGTCATTCAGTTTACTAAAATGTCTACTGCAGTGAAACCATTAACTGAGACACCTTCCATACATTTTAACTAACTACATGTATTTACAACATAAATAACCAAGACAAGGCACCATGAATTTAATGGCCAGTTTTAATGATTTATGAAGGTCACCCCTGGAATTTAATTAAGTCCACAAAAATGATTCTAATTAATGGTAAAAATGATAGTCCACAGGGAAATATCCCTGATCCTTCCTGAATATTGTTAGTCTCGGACAATTGGTATTAATTTTTCAAACCTAGAAGGCCTAAGACCTAAGCTACACATTAACAACTAAGTAAGTGAATGGTGCATGACTGTAAGACTACATGCAATAGCCTCTAAGTTTTCTCAAGAACCTTGTTCATGTTGTTAGAAAGCATCTTGTGAGGCAATCATTTCCTAACAACTAGCCCAGGTCCACTCCCTATATCAATGAATAAATAATGTTTTCAAATCAATGAATGTCTGTGATACCAACCGCCCACCAGACAGACATCTACATATCGTCACCGAATGGTCTTCAATGTTTGAGTGATGGACTACATGTAAAAAAAAAATACCAACCCTACAGTGCTAATGATCCATGCAAGTAAAGTTGTGTCTTTTGAAGTGATTTTCGACACAATTGTGTTGAACATCAAATATACCTGATATGTATACATATCCATGCAGATATGTACACGCATAGTAAAGTCAGTGTTTGAAATTAGGAACCCCTGTCAATCTCTTAAAAAACAGATCCATGACACCCCTACATAAGTGCTTGCATCAGGTGACTCTCTGATGCCCATTCTAAATAAATGATGTTGAGATTTTTTATCCGAACAAGATTATTATTTTTCAAAAATTATTCAGCTTTTGCTTCTTTATCATCTCAGTTTGGAAATTTTGACCTTAACAAAACAAAAAGTCCCATGACAGTGTGCCAATCTATGTGCAGATGCAAAAGCACTAAAACATCATGGGGTATAAAATATTCACAACTACATAATAGCATGGCCTTTATTTTTTTCATGTGGAACTGCCCATTTTTCCAACACACAAAAATCAGACTTGTTCATTCACAAAGAACAATTGGCTGACATGACCTCCCGCAGATTTTCAAATGTCACAATCTGTTTTTTTATGAGATTGGAATCCTTGCCATTGTCTAAATGATAAAACTAAAATATTTAGGGTATGTCATTTTCCAACAATAAAGTCATAAACACCATGGACGTCATTAACTTCTAACACTGATCTGTAACTATATCAACAGGTGCTCTTTAGATAAGTGAAGATATTATATGCACCATGTGTCATTAATATACAGTGTCCCTTAATATTTAAGGCTACTTACATGCTGACTTTCGTGAATCAGAGGAGTTGGTTCAAATATATGGACTTTCCTGCCATAGCTGGCTGCAATCTGAAGATAAAGACATATATAAGTAACCAGAGAGTTAGCAATAAGTTTCTACAGATCATGTTTCGTAATATACTACTATAGCAATATCAAGGTGGGGACATCAGAAATAGGCTTCACACATTATACCCAACTGGGGAATAAAACCCAGGTCTTCAGTGTGACGAGCGAACACTTTAACCAAGAGGCTACCCCACAGCCCCATATCATAGGGAACACCAGAACTGGTCTTCACACAATTTATCCATGGGGAATCAAACCAAAGTCTTTGACATGGTAACAACATGCTTTACCAACTGGGCTAAACATACTGCCACAGAGACCTACAAGGACTTACACATACTGCCACAGAGACCTACAAGGACTTACACATACTGCCACAGAGACCTACAAGGACTTACACATACTGCCACAGAGACCTACAAGGACTTACACATACTGCCACAGAGACCTACAAGGACTTACAGATCACATGTGCCAATATATGTCCAGAGGGTGAAGAGTGAAGTCAACAGGTTTTTGCTACAGGACTTGCAACACTTCAGTTATATCAGGGCATATCAGCTTGATGTGGGAGGAAGGACAACAGTAGTGAGTGAGTGAGTGAGTGAGGTTGGTTTAAAGCCGCTTTAGCAATATTCCAGCAATATCACAGCAGGGGACACCAGAAATGGGCTTCACATATTGTACCCATTTGGGGGATTGAACCCTGGGTCTTTGGCATGACGAGTGATAGCTTTAACCACTGGGCTACCCCACCGCCCCTAAAGACAAAAGTAATGCAGGTCACCATTTCAGTGAAACACACATGCATCATGGGTATGGTACAGAGCTGATCTGGAACTCAAACCAATAATGATATGTTTCTGGCATGCTTAGGGGGCAAACTTTGCTCCTCAAATATGACACTTCAATTAACTGGGTTACCTTTGCCTCCAGTAACATTTTAGCTAGACACTATTTTTCAAGTACTGTAGAGATACACTTAATCACAATAAGATGTACAACAAGATTCAACATGTATAATCCATACAAGTTCAACATTTGTCAGGTGATGGATACAATATTCATTGTCACATGTGACAAGCTGCCCATTTGACATTCTTCAATAAATTTCAGTCATCCAAGGTAACTGTTCTCCATACCCCCAGTAAATGGTTATTCTATCATTCATTATCACTGTAGTTGATACATCATGTTCCACACAAGGCCTGTTATGCTTCACTCCCTTTCATGAACTCAATTCATTATTCGTGATCACAACAATCAAATATTAATGATTTTTTAAAGTGTTCACTAATGGTATTTAAAAGTAACAGGACATTGGGTCCTGTAAGTTTCAGATGTCTGTCTGACCCACTGAAAATTCACAGGACCCATAGAATAAAGATTAAACACACATTTCAGATTAAACATTTCTTATAATTGGCATTGAAATTATTAACAAACATAAAATTTATAAACAGCAAACAAGTATGACATGTCACATGAGTGAGTGAGTGAGTTCAGTTTTACGCCGCTTTTAGCAATATTCCAGCAATATCACGGCGGGGGACACCAGAAATAGGCTTCACACATTGTACCCATGTGGGAAATCGAACCCGGGTCTTCGGCGTGACGAGCGAACGCTTTAACCACTAGGCTACCCCACTGCCCCTCACATATAACAACTTCAGTCAAAGTCATTGTGAAATATACAGTCAGACACTGGTGTCTGCAGGTTGTTTACTTCCATCAGACGACAGCAAATCTGCCGGATTTGTCTGAGGGTCTGACGCTATTCGTGAACACTGTAAAAGGAGTGTTTTTACTTGAATTTGTTATTTATTAACATCAAATTTGTTATTTATTAACATCAAATTTGTTATCTATTAACATCAGAGGTGCGAAATGAAATACCGGAATATCCAAGCCAGGCATGGAAAGAGCCAGCACTCTTGTATGGTCAGTTTGAATGTGGTCACTGGTCATTGTCATGAATAATTAACACTGTCAACATGGGTCAGAACATGTCAAACAATACATTTTGTGATTGTTTCACAAAATATATTGAATAATACATTAATATTGATATTTTATTCATTACCCAATATTCATATTCGTCACCCAGTATTCGTGATATGTATCATATCCACCTCATAACGGATTCGCTGCAGCCCTATTTTCACAGATTTGCTTGAAAACATCCAACAATACAATACCCACACAGTACAAAAAAGAGAATCACAATGTACAGAATGTTTGGAGAATGTGTATTTTCTTTTGAAACAAAGTATCTCCCATTATTAAATATGGTAAGTACAGGTGAATCATATCGTACCTTGCCCGTGTCGGTTGAGCAGTCGATGCAGCTGACTTTGATGTTGCCATGGGAGACCCCAGGGATGATCTGTACCCTCTCAAAGTTGCTGGCTAGTATAACAATGTTGCACCCTGCAGCATATGCCTGGAAACAAGCAAACAACAGATTCTTCATAACAATATCAAGTTATCATAATTTTGCAAAAATAGTTGATTAAAAATGCAAAAGAATCAAAATATTAGAGTCCAATATTATCAAATAAAAAATTATTGTTCTCATTCACAGATATGTAATGTTTTTGACTTTATGTGAAACAAGATTGTAATTTCTATTCCACTGAGGTTAAATGTCATCCAACCATCTACTCCATTGTAACTGGATTATTATTTTTCTTTTGCTTAACATCCCACTCATCAATATTCAGCTATATGGCGGCAGTCTGTAAACAATCAAGTCTTGACCAGACAGTCCAGTGATCATCATCATGAGCATCGATCTAGGCAATTGGGATAAAATGACATGTCAGCAAGTCTGACCACCCGATCTCGTCGCCTCTTAAGACAAGCATGGGTTGCCGAAGACCAATTCTAACCTGGATCTTTGCAGGTCCATAGTAACTGGCAGCGACCAATTATTGTTTGATTAGTCATGAGTAACCATTGTAAATCAACATTCCCTGTTACCTGTTAAGAGTATTATCTTAGAGCAGTCACAATAAAAGTTATTACACATACATGTATTTCAATTAGTACAATTTTTTTCTCAAAGGATCTTCATCATTTATAATCTGAAATCCAAAATTATAACGTGTGAGAAGCTAACTCTTTTTCATAAACAAATATATAATAAAACAATATACACCAGCACATATTTTAATAATGTTAATCAAACTATACAGCTTAAACCAATAGTAATTTGAACCGAGCAAATATAAATCTTACATGGACAGTTGGTCCACTTGTCAAGATCCCTGTGCAAACCCCTATGGGACTTGAAGCGTAATGGAGGATCTACACTCGTCTAGCTTTGACTGACAACTTTTCTCATTGTGAATCAATCAGGTCCATTCCTTCAGCTCGTACAGAACCCACACAGACAGACCAGTGGCTAATTTCAACAAGGGGAGACTAACAGTGTGACCAATAAAACACAGGCACTGCACAATTTCCCACTTGGCTGCTTAATAATAGGAGGAGAAAGGGCATTCTCCCACAACCAAACTGGTGGCTTCTATGACACAATTAGGCTCCATTACTGAGCGGAAGTGAAGATGGCACGAAGGAAAACGAGAGAAGAGAAATGGCCTTGGGTTAAACAAGGCCGTAACTTATTAATGATCAGCCAAAAATAATAGTATTGATCTTTAATACCTTGTCCAACAGCCTCCTGTGAAAGTATACCATATTGATTTTGAAAACGACGGTGCTCAAATAGTCATTAGCGGAGTTCAAATTAACAATGATTAATGCAAGCCTATTACTTGTCTTGAATACCGCCTTTTCATCAAAGGTTAAAGCTGATGGTATTTGCTTTAAGGAATTGGAACCAAACAATCAATTGTGACTTCAATACTGCTGATTTTCAAAGTATTCCTATAAGCTGTTCTGTGCAGACTGAAGAACTAGTCTATAAGCAACAGTGAGGCAGTAACTGCAGACACCTCCAGACCACATCCTAGAGGAAGTGACTGCAGACACCTCAAGACAACATCCTACGGGAAGTGACTGCAGACACCTCCAGACCACATCCTACAGGAAGTGACTGCAGACACCTCCAGACCACATCCTAGAGGAAGTGACTCCAGACACCTCAAGACCACATCCTAGAGGAAGTGACTGCAGACACCTCCAGACCACATCCTAGAGGATGTGACTGCAGACACTTCCAGACCACATCCTAGAGGAAGTGACTCCAGACACCTCCAGACCACATCCTAGAGGAAGTGACTCCAGACACCTCCAGACCACATCCTAGAAACAGTGACTACAGACACCTCCAGACCACATCCTAGAGGAAGTGACTCCAGACACCACCAGACCACATCCTAGAGACAGTGACTACAGACACCTCCAGACCACATCCTAGAGGAAGTGACTGTGGACACCTCAAGACCACATCCTAGAGGAAGTGACTGTGGACACCTCCAAACCACATCCTAGAGGAAGTGACTGCAGACACCTCAAGACCACATCCTAGAGGAAGTGACTGCAGACACCTCAAGACCACATCCTAGAGGAAGTGACTGTGGACACCTCCAGACCACATCCTAGAGGAAGTGACTGTGGACACCTCCAGACCACATCCTAGAGGAAGTGACTGTGGACACCTCCAAACCACATCCTAGAGGAAGTGACTGCAGACACCTCAAGACCACATCCTAGAGGAAGGGTCTGCAGACACCTCAAGACCACATCCTAGAGGAAGTGACTGCAGACACCTCCAGACCACATCCTAGAGGAAGTGACTGCAGACACCTCCAGACCACATCCTAGAGGAAGTGACTGTGGACACCTCAAGACCACATCCTAGAGGAAGTGACTGTGGACACCTCCAAACCACATCCTAGAGGAAGTGACTGCAGACACCTCCAGACCACATCCTAGAGGAAGTGACTGCAGACACCTCCAGACCACATCCTAGAGGAAGTGACTGCAGACACCTCCAGACCACATCCTAGAGGAAGTGACTGCAGACACCTCCAGACCACATCCTAGAGGAAGTGACTGTGGACACCTCAAGACCACATCCTAGAGGAAGTGACTGTGGACACCTCAAGACCACATCCTACAGGAAGTGACTGCAGACACCTCCAGACCATTTACTAGAGGCGGCAACTGCAGACACCTCAAGACCACATCCTAAAGGCAGTGACTGCAGACACCTTCTGACCATGTACTAGAGGAAGTGACTGCAGACACCTCCAGACCACATCCTAGAGGAAGTGACTGCAGACACCTCCAGACAACATCCTAGAGGAAGTGACTGTGGACACCTCAAGACCACATCCTACAGGAAGTGACTGCAGACACCTCCAGACCATGTACTAGAGGCGGCAACTGCAGACACCTCCAGACCACATCCTAAAGGCAGTGACTGCAGACACCTCCAGACCACATCCTAGAGGAAGTGACTGCAGACACCTCCAGACCACATCCTAGAGGAAGTGACTGCAGACACCTCCAGACCACATCCTAGAGGAAGTGACTGCAGACACCTCAAGACCACATCCTAGAGGAAGTGACTGTGGACACCTCAAGACCACATCCTAGAGGAAGTGACTGTGGACACCTCAAGACCACATCCTACAGGAAGTGACTGCAGACACCTCAAGACCACATCCTAGAGGTGGCAACTGCAGACACCTCCAGACCACATCCTAAAGGCAGTGACTGCAGACACCTCCAGACCATGTACTAGAGGAAGTGACTGCAGACACCTCCAGACCACATCCTAGAGGAAGTGACTGCAGACACCTCCAGACCACATCCCAGAGGAAGTGACTGCAGACACCTCCAGACCACATCCTAGAGGAAGTGACTGCAGACACCTCCAGACCACATCCTAGAGGAAGTGACTGCAGACACCTCCAGACCATGTACTAGAGGAAGTGACTGCAGACACCTCCAGACCATGTACTGGGGGAAGTGACTGCGGACACCTCAAGACCACATCCTAGAGGAAGTGACTGCGGACACCTCCAGACCATGTACAAGAGGAAGTGACTGCAGACAATTCCAGACCATGTACTAGAGGAAGTAACTGCAGACACCTCCAGACCATGTACTGGAGGAAGTGGCTGTAGACACCTCCAGACCATGACCTGAGGAAGTACACATCTTAGCGTGTGGCACAAAGAAATAATACAGATCACCAAGTCGCCCAAGCTGAATAAAACTTCTTTATGAAGAAACAATTTGATATTGAAAAATATGTCATTTTCAATTTCAGCCACACCGTGTTGTTTATCAACCCCCAAAGTGTAACTTACAAATTCCTGTGCTGATTACAATTTTTTTGAGCGAGTGAATGTTTCTTCCCTTTTTTTGCCATAACCAGCAATGAACAGCTACATCAAAGATCCATCTTGTAAACAATGTAGACCAGGGCCTAGATTTTTTAGGCTCTCTTAGCGCTACAATAGTTGTAAGTGCCATACATTAGCATTAACTTATCACTATCTTAGCACTAAGAGAGCTTTGAAAATCTTGGCCCTGGACAGGTGACTATAGTCTATTTGCAGTGAAAACGTACCGATTAATTTCACTTTAAACAAGAAAGTAAATCAAATAAGGTGAAATTAAGATTGCGAATCTTCATAATATTACCTTGCCAATTGAACCTTTGAATCTCAGAATTTTATTCATCTTAGGATAAAAGTTGTTTAACAAACGATCATAGATTCAAATCGCTATTATTGGTTTGTATTACAAGGGGGTAAGCACAGTAGTTGGAACAGTGAAACAAATGCACGTGCGGTACGTGATGAGCGTAAACTTAGACCAACCCAACTTGTTCTCGGTGTTTCATGTAATGTGCATACACCCTTGTAATACAAACCAATAATAACGCTCAATTGGAGGATTCGCAATCTTAATTTCACTTTATTCAATTTACTTTCTTGTTTAAAGTGAAATTCATTGGTACATTTTCACTGCAAACAGACTACATACATGTATAGTGGTTGATGGCATGGACTTCAACTACTCAAGACTTGCACACTGGGTTCCATGGCAACCATTATGTGCCATATGACACACATCTTCATAAAGCAAGGGAGTTTAGTGACTATAAGAGTCCCATTTCCACCCTTCCTAATTTGGCTGGAATTTCACCATTTTGTTCAAAGCAAATGCTAGTAATATGGTAGACAGAAAATAACTCTCCAGTAGGAGAAAAAGCATAGGGACATAACCTAAATGCCACAAACATTGCTGGGGAAGGGTGGAAATTGTTAAGATGTGTCACACTTGTTCAAACCAAACCAGTTTTAGTCAGTACTAACAACAAGCATGAGGTACAGAAGACTGATCCTTGTCCCACTGTGCAAACACGTCAAAATATCAAGCACCTGCTGCTGCCATTTGTAATTCCATTGTTTCTGGCATTCCAAGCCAGTTCATGTTGATATTGAAGCCATCAGTTCA